TCGGAGAAAAGAGGGAGAGCGAGAGAGAGGAAGCCTCTGCCAAGTCCATGTGTGAATCCTCCTGCGCTCAACCGGGGGACACTGGGACGTCTGCCACGAGAGAGAAACAGAGAAGCACACGAGTGAACAAAATGCAGCTGACATCACTCCAACGCGAGTAAGCCGCCTGTGCTGCATCCTGCATTGATCTCCGCCTCTTAGATAACACGACGCGACGTCCAAATCCACGATGGAACGAACACACCCAGCCGGCAAAGTTGGATTCAGTAACAATTCCCTTTTTTTTTCTTTTAAAGAAATGTCACTCAACTTTAACACTGGGAATGTTTTGCATGTTGTCAATAAATCCCATCAAATATTTGTAAAATGATGAGATCCTGGTTCTCAATACTTTTTACACTGTTTATAAAGGCCTTTTCCTTCCATCTGATAAACATTTCCAATTAAAAAAAAGACTAATCATTTTTATCAACAGCTTGGCAATGTAGTCTTCAGGGAAAATGATCCAAAGATGAGTAAAAAGTGCATTTTTAGGGACTATTTTGTGGTGTGATGGTAAAGTTGTGCACGTTCACTACTCGTCCACCCATCTGGCATGAGCAGATTGTGATAGTTAAGTTCTTGTAGACCAGTAGGAGCTCATGTAATCCCTCGTTCTCACTCAATCAACAGTTGTCCTGTCCTTCATGAGACTCGAGGACACAAACCGCCGGAAAAACAGAAACATTTGCTGAACCCTGCACTTAAAGTCTTGTTTTTTAATTACCGCAAGTGCGTTCTTGTCTCAACAGATTGAATCAATGTAGATATATGAGGCGGAGAGGAGAGAGACGTGCACGTTACGGCAGCGTCCCCCCCCCTCCACCCCCCAGACGCTTTTATTCTACACCCCGTGGAGGTCAGTCATCTTCTGCACCACCTCAAAGTTTGGCCTTCGTTGTTCAGTTAACATGCGGCATGTGAAAAATAAAATAAACTAAAGTGCGGGCGCAAAGAGTACAAACGTAAGCAACCGCAACCTATTTAACCACGTCTGGCTCGGCGTTATTGGTCCAGAAGTTCTTTCTGCGAATTAATGGCCTCTTCTTACTCTGTGCTGGATATATTGCACAAATTAAGGTACACTCAAAGTGAGACCTTAATCCCCCAAATGGGCCCCGGAGAGGGGTGAACGAGACAACTTAGTACACAGCCAGGAGATGGAAGAGGAAAAACTCAAATGTTAATCCCGTCTCCCTCAACACATTAAGTGTGTCCTCCTCTTACGATTGATCTAACACAGGCTTAGTCCAGTCTACCACGACTCAAGAGGAAAGGAGCATTTTATTCATTCAAAGACACCTTGCAGGAGCAGTTCAAAACAAGCAGCAATGTATTAAGACGTAATAAAATGAAAAACATAATGATAAAGAAACTATTAAGTTAATACAATACCCAAAGAGCACCTCGGGGTGCTTATATAATGAGACTCTGCAAATAAGGAGAAACAAATCACAGTTTTCTTCATGGTCTCACCTGCATTACATATTCGCAAATAGTGTGTGGCATTAATAAATTCATATTTCACTACTTGCCATTGCACCAACTGGGCTGCATTGACAATCCATACAATGCTCTCTCTGATTTGACGTGTGGCGGTGCTGATCATGATGACCTTTGACTCCCACAGCAGCAAAGCCTCTGGAGACAGACAGAGAACAGACGTTACTGCAGATAAAAGGAAACATTTGCATTGGCAAGGATATTACTGCAGTTTGATCCATATCATGATGAGAAACAAGTATAACGGGCTGAGACAATTAAAACAGGGCTCATCGTTATCTCGTGGCTATTACAAAATGTATTCATAGCTCCTCATCAAGTGCGGCAAAACCGGCAGACAGCCGCACTTTCTTGCTGTTATTTGGTTCGACCTAAAATACTCCTTTCCATCCCTGCTTTCTTGCGGGAGACATAATGAACCCAATCACGGCGATTTCCACAGGTATTTCACTCGGAGACATCTGCAATCCCGGAATCAAATAACATGCTAATTTTTTCCAGATGAACCAAGAAGGATTTTGTCAGTCTGTGTGTGCGTGTGTTGGGGGTCTGGCTGCGAGAATATGAGCAAAAAACACACACGGCAGCAACCTGATGTTATTTTCCAAGTTGTGTAAATTCCCACCGCCCACCACACCAGAACAAAAATGTAATCACACTAAACACGTGTGTGAGAGGAGGTGAAGCTCCGTCAAATGAACACGAGCAGGAAAAAAGGAGCAGAAAGGAGTTATTTCATCCGCGCACATCCGGTGGATAAAACCCTCCCACAGGAGCGTGCACGGCCGCTGCAGCAGGGACCACTTAAACCGAGCCGCAAAAATGACTCATCCTGGAGGAGAAAAAAAGAGTTCCCTTCCACAATCAGGGAGTGTTGGGTTTTCCATGAATGAAAATGTACTCATGTTACTAAGGATTTGGAAGCGGAGACACTCCAGATCCTTTGAGTGTGACTTAACTGCTTCAGATGCTCGGAGAATGAACGCATGACTTGGCACCAAGTCCGGCCGGCAGTGCTGAATAACTAAGATCGCCATATTTTTCTTTTTAGACGTTGCAAATCCCCTTTTGGCTGTTCACCACGGCAACTGTTGTGGAAGGGTTTTGATCGGAGATTGATCGGGCGTTCTGATATTTCTAAATGTTCAAAGATGACTCACAAAAGCAAACTGTGGGAGCGTGTGGAGACGGGCATGGCGGCACAGTACGCTTTTACCTCTACTTTTTACAATAACAAGCAATGGAAGGGTTTGCAAAAAAAAAATATCTGCAGATTTGCAGGTCAGAAGATCTGAAGGTCGAAAATGACATTTTCTTTTCCATATGTTTTGGTTACATTTGGTCATTGTGTTTGAAGCCTTTCAATGACTTTATTTGAAACCGCTTTTGCGCGCGCGTCAATCAACGTGCCGTTGTCAAGGCCGTTGCCATGGCACGTGCTGCTCTTTCAAAGTTGTTCTTTTTCTAAACTGCTCAAGGAGGCTCACTTCTTCCTTCGCTCAGTAATGAATATGCTGCCTTCTGCACAAACTGGAAGAGTACATTTTTGGCCACGAAGGCCAATTAAAAAAACATATTAAGATGGCGAGAAGGCAGCATTTGCACTTCACAAGCGCATACATGTCTGCATGCATGTACGTGTGATACACTTAAGGATCTTGGCATGGAGGGTTTTTACGATTCATAGCTAACACAGTTTAAAGATTGAACATGAAAGGAAAGATACAGAGAGCTCTGGATACCATCGAAATCTCTAAGAGGGTTTTTAATCCATTCAGGTGAGGTTACAGATAAGGCTTAAAGTATCTAGAGACGTAGCACAAGTGCACAGTCTTCTTTTTCCACATCAAAGTAGTTAAGTCAAGTCAAGTCAAGTCATTTTATTTTGTATAGCCCAGAATCGCAAATTACAAATTTGCCTCAGAGGGCTTTACAGTCTGTACACATACGACATCCTCTGCCCCGAAACCCTCCATCGGCACAGGAAAAACTCCCCAAAAAATGAAAAAACCCTTACAAGAGGGAAAAAAGGGAAGAAACCTTAGGGAGAACGTCAGAGGAGGGATCCCACTCCCGGGATGGACAGACTACAATGGATGCCATGTGTACAGAATGAACAATGTATAATCATGCAATTCCTATGACAGAAATGATTCATGTAATTGTGAGTAGTAAGCAAGGCGCACAGCAGGACCACTGCAGGGGCCACCACCATCAGATAGAACCACCATCCACAGAATCCTGTGGGGAGGGAGAGCACAGAGATTTTAGGAGAGGGTAATGTCGGTTTATGAGTAAAGTAATATGATTAATATCTAAAATAATGATGATGATGATGATGATGGCAGCAGCAGGCGTCAGCATGGCCACGGTAAATTCATGTACATTCATGCAATAGGTTTAGATTTAACATTTAGATTTAAATTTTACATTTAGATTTAACATTTACATTTAAATTTTACATTTACATTTAGATTTTACATTTAAATATAACATTTACATTTAGATTTAACATTTAGATTTACATTTAACATTTATATTATTTAACAACTTTGTTACTGCCAAACATTATCCTTGGAAAGGTTGTACATGAATGTACATGAATTTCTCTCGAAATGTTTGACAAAGTGACATGTGAATATTGTCGTGCTTTTTTGTTCATATGATAATGCTAAATGTAGCAAAACTGCGCAGGATTTCAGAACGTGCGACATTTTACAAACGGCGCCCCATACCCGGCGAAACAGCAACGCAACTCGCGACGCAACGGGTCCGAAGTCAGCAAACAATGGCGCCTGGTAGCGAAGACGCTCCGCTTCTCGTGTCAGTGAAACAAGTTTAAAGTTTCATGCCGTGCATGATTGACATTAATTACTTTTGAGTGGTAAATTATCGCTAAATCAAATATGCTTCATCCTGGATGTATTTTGCGGCATTTCAATACAAGCGTTAGCTAACTGCTTTGCAAGGTAAGTCAGTCAAAAAGACTACTAGATTGTGTTACTGTGTTCCAAGATTGTCTGTGAAGTAAACCTTTGATTTGACGTTAGCTGATTTTAGCCAGTAGAGATCAAGGTATCATTAACGTGGGAGCGAATAAATTAGCTTTAGTGATTTTAGTGTTCTGAAATTTAACTAAAAAAATACGTTTAGGCTTTTTTTATTTTGCAACCACTTAGCTTTCTATGACTATGGCACTGTTTTGATATGGCCTTTTTGTTTGAAAGAAAACCCAAATTGAGAACGGGAATCTATTGTTGTATTGTCGGTTAACAGATTTGTTGTGCCAGCGCCACTCGGTCACGCCAAGCTAAGGCTACACCAGAAGGTTTTTTTCAGATAAAAAATGAATGGAATCACCCTAAAGCAAGAATATAGAATGATCTGAGTTGAACTCAAATGAACCGATTTTGGACATCATTCTAAAATGCCTCATCACAGATCCATGGCAGAACAAATGACATAATAAAGATTAATTTATTTTATATTCAGAACTTGCATGTAGGTACAATGTGAATCTATTTCCTCACATTGTTTTCTAATTTCTAAAACAAATTGCTTTCAGAGGGAAAGAGAACATTAATTCAAAAAGACATTAATTCAAAACAGATGCAAATTCATGTGTCGGGAAAGTGGTTGTCTTTGCAAGCTAAAAAATAAGTAAAAAGTGAGATGGATAATGGTTGAGACACAAGCTCTCATGTGAGGCTCACGTGATCCCTCTTCCACTTTGGTTCCCAAGAACCTCCTCCGAATGCGTCCGTCTTCGTGGCCTCGGGAGTCGGTGCAAAAAGAAGCCAGTGGTGGTTAAAAACACTTTGTGACGTAAGCAGATGAGATCTGGAGGTTACAACCAGGGGCCCCCGAGGTTATTTCATTTTTTAACAAATACAGATGTGAAGATATGAAGCTGTATTGATACTGAAAGAAACATCAGTTTACAACGAACGTAAATCGGTGGGTTTTCCAAACAGACAGATCAAGATGGGTAGAAGATCAACCGCAGTCGGAAAAAGTGCCATTTCTTTTTCTCCCCAGGTTTAAATGAGCTGTTGATGAATCATTCACAACACCGGCTGTGGTTTAAATCGTTTAACCAAGCTCCCCTGATACAGCACTAGTGAGCACTACTTCCCATCGACTTTCCCCCCTCTTTAACATCTGTAAGGCAGAGGGAATTAAGCTGGCTGCCAAAGTAAATATTAGACCGCCGGTGACGGAGGACAGTTTGGTAAAAACAGATTATTTTAAGGAAATGTGTACGCAGGAATTTAAGCAAATCCAACAGGTAATGCGTGGGAGTGGGACGGATTTGCCACTGAATATTGACAGATCGCCTTCTAATTCCCCTCCTGATATTCCGCCTCGGCTACACTTGTGCCTCCGTGCATGACTCTGCAGCATTGTGCTCCGCGCCGGAAAGAGCGAGATGCTCTGACACGGGAATTGGCCGACACGTCACGCTCGTTTCCACACAAGGAACCCTCCTGGATGTTGTTACGAGCAGAGCACAACGAGAGCCACCCCAGTGGTTGACCTCCTTGTTGTGTGCCACTTGAGTCTGGATGGACTGCCACATGTATTAAAACACACACACATTTCCTCTCTATTGAACCTCACACACACTCACTGCAGCGTTTGGGATTCAGGTGGTGACTATGAGCACGGAGCAGAACCTGTAGCCCGGTACTGTAAGAGTGCAGGAGCTCGGGCCATGTTAAAGGTCCCATTCAGTAATCATTCAGAAAGTGGCGAGGGGAGGCGGGGTTTGGAGGGGGGGCGGGAGGGAGGATCTGTCCCTCGTTGCACTCTCCCTCTGCTCCGCTTTGGCTCTTCGCTGTGTCCCTCTCTGGGTTCCAACATCATGCTACATGACTCGGCCTCCCTCCTCGTCCTCTTGAACAATTGAGTTCAACCTCGGCCCCCCGTCAGCGTCTCCGTTCGCTCTCTCACACAAGCCAGGTGAACGTCGCTCGCCTCTGGTCCAATTAAAGCAACACTTCGCTCCGTCCAGATGACTAATCACCAAGCAGAAATCAGTTGGTGATCACTTAACAAGTGTGTTGTACAGCGGGGCACCACAGAGGTGGAGGAGGGGGGGGGGTCCTTACCTAGCGGGGGGCTTTCTGTGCGTGACTACGCGGTGTGAATCGAAGTGTATTATTCGGTGTTGCAATGCATGTCGTGTGTGCAGGTGGGCTGGCGGCTACCTTCTTAAAGTTGCCGTGCTTGCTGGTCCCCTGCTCGGAGTGCTGGCTGTGGATGACGTCCAGAGGAGTCTCCCTCTCTTTCGTCTCCAGGCTTTCAATCTCCGTCTTCAGCTCGCTCAGCTGCTTGCTCTTCTCCATGTACTCCACCCTGAACACGGTCAGACGGCAGGTGGGGGGACAGTTTACTCGATGTCTTTGGAGATTTGACGGGACTTTAATGGCCGGACGTCGTCCTTGTTTTACTCCTCTTAACGGGGGGCAAAGACGGACCAATATCCATTATTGGTAATACTGAAGCTCACGCTCTTAAATAGCCAATCATTGAATGGTTTGTAAAAAGAATGTACATGTAGAGAATGTGAAAAAGTATGTCTAAATGAACCTTTAAAAAGGTTTTCTAATAAAAATGCAATTGTAATACCAGATGAACAAACAGAGTCTACTATCATTTACGGCATCAGAGATAAGAGCTGGAGAAACAGAGAGAAATAGAGACACACAGGTCAATATTTTCGTGAATGCGATTCCAAATACAGTCTGTCTTTCTCTTACAAACAGTACCTGCTGGTCCAGGAGCTGCAAGCTGTCTCGCGTACCTTTTATCTCCAAAACTTAATTACGTAGTAAATCAGAGGCCCAAAATATCGGGCAGCGTCGGCAGAGGGAGGCCGGCGACTCACTTCTCCTTCTCGATCTCCACGGAGAGGCGTTTCATGTCGCTGTCTTTAAAGTCAAAGCTGAGGTTCTCTCTGCTGAAGCTCAGGTCCGGGGGCATGCTGTCACATTGCGGCGCAGGGGCCTTGGAGGGGAGATGGTGGGGGGGGGGATTAGAGGACGAACTGACACACAGTGAATACGGAGCCGAAGGAGTCGGGAGAGGTGAGACAGCAAGGGTCAAACGAACGGATCATGAGCGCACAAATACATGTATACATGCTATCAGATCCTGAGCCGGTGTCAGAAACGCGTTGGCAACGTCACACTGTTTGTGCGTATGCAAGTGTACATGTGTGTAAGCTGCTGAACGTGCATTGTGTGGGTTTAAAGCATGTGGGATGCGCACACGTGGGACGGCTTACGTGCTGCCTGTTCTTACGCAAGTAACTACTTTTAAGTGTGGCTCTGTGTGTCTATGTTGTGTGTGTCTGTAAGGGGGAGGGGGGGGGCTATTAGCAGCTGAATTAAACTGCATTACATTATACAATATAATAAAACATTTACCCAGAAAGTGTGGACATTTCTAATAATGTAAGCTGCGTTATATTTACACAAATCTTTATTAACTATTTGCTGATCAAAAGAAAATCAATTGGCTGATATTTATTTTTAACATTTTTGTCTCTCAGAATATTTTTCGGACGTTTGATGCACTTTGTGCTGAGGATTATTGTAAAAAACAGGAAAAAGAAAAGAAAATCCTCTCATGGTTTATAGATTAAATCATATATTGATGATGAAAGTATTTGTCAGTTGGGGCCTCATTAACACACTCTGTGTCTAAATAATCAAATGCTGCGTCATTACCTCCCAATCCTTCAAAAAGGCGCACAAATCATCCCAACTGAATCCAAACGTATCATCTCGCACAATCGCTGCGTCGGTACCCGACGAGGCAGGAATGTCACTTTGTTATTACCCCGGTGATCAATGCGTCGCCCGGGCAGACGTTCATTTCTGACTCCATTGCTTCGCCATCGAGCCGGCACACACACACACAGCGATGTAAGGATGCCGCGCGCGGGTCATCACATTCCTTTCGATTGCGTCCGTGAACACCCGACAGTTCCTCGCTGGAGCGGGGGAGCAGCGGGCCTCGAGGGTTTGAGTGGTCGTAGTCATTTACATGTTGAGTGCCACAGGTTTAAATTTCTCTGGTTCAGAAAGTGCTCATCCAGAAATCGCAGGTGCAGGCAAGTGGTTAATGGTGCCTATTTGAAATGATTGCCTAATAAATTGTGAAGTGGACGCTGTGAAGTGATATTCTTAGTATCTGAATGTGTTGTACTCTGGAAACGACCGGAGCTCGTTGCCACTAGGGTTTGTTATTTATCAGGCGTGTGCCTCTTATCCCTCTGGAGAAATAAACCAGTTTAACGGCAGATACAACCACTCGATTTGAGCCGAATGACGAGGAAAAGACACAATTGCCGTTTAAGACTCAAATCAAACACCGATCAAGAAGGAAATTTCAGCACATTGCAGCTTCATTGTGCAGTAAAATAGACTGATAGACTGATTTGATGGGGGACTCCCGCCAGCCATCGATACAATTAACCAGCGCAAATGAACTGCCTGCGTCTCAGAGGAGCGGGGCTGCTGAAGGAAAGCCTTCTTCCTTTCCCTCCTCGGGTGCGGCGGTGTGGCTGTAACGGCGCGATTACCTGCCACGGAGGCAGAACAAAGCCCCGGAAATGAAATGACTTTGAAACTAGTTAGAAGCTCTTTGACGGAGCCATTAACACGCAGCTGTGTCCCCTCGCTCTGCGCCCACAGCGTCGACCGGCTCCCGCCCCGCTGAGCTAACTGGAACCGTTACAATTCATCCTCTTCCTCCCCTCCTCACCTCCTTTCCGATTCCTCGGCCGTCTTGAGGGCCAGCATCTCCGCCTCCAGCATCTTCTGCTCCAGGAGCCGCCGCTCCTCCCGGCCGCGGATGGCGGTCACTTTGACGCGCTGCGTCTCGGCCTCGGCCTCGCCGGCTTTCAGGGCCAGCAGCCTGGCCTCCTCCTCCGCCATCTGGGCCTTCTCGGCCAGCAGGTCGGCCGCGTGCTTCCGAACGCACCTGGAGAAGACGCTACTGCCGCCGGTTCTCACCCTCCTTCGCGACGAGAAACGAGCCAATCAGTCTCGGCTGAACTCACCAACTTGCTGACTCTTAGCCGCGACGAGTTGAACTCGAAGGTGTTGGTTTTCTTGTCCACAGGTTTGATGGTAAACTGAGCATTGAGGAGACAGGAATACAGAGACGTGTCTTTGGAAGGAATACCACAGTAGTTGCGCAGGGGCGGCGGTCCCACCTCCTTGTCGCTGTAGGAGACGTTGCGGATCTCCGTTCCGGGGGAAGGAGCACTTGGGCGTCAGCCGGTTGTCCAACTCGTAGATGTGCAGACCCAAGGGCGTCCCCTCCCAGGAGAAGATCCGTCCCCCCGTGGTTCTAAAGCCCAGACAAGGCAGACAGAACGGAGCTCAGTCAGCAGGTGAGGCGCCGTCCACATTTATTCCCGCTATGAACTTCTAACTATTTGGTAGTTGAGCTGATCAATGCCAGCCGGGATTTCTTCTACTTGGAAATGTCTCGGCCTCTTGGAGAAATACGCTGATCAAAGCCGCCGAGTGAACTGCAGTTCGTTAAGAGTTTTCCTTATGACTCACCTGGAAAAAGACCCAGTGCCGAGTAGCATTTGATAACGTTTCGTAACGTAAAAAAAGCTCAATATTCAAGGGACAGTTTAAAAATCTTATTTCCTAATTGACTTCCCTCATAATCTCGCATATGGGCTGACATTGTAAAGATACAGCAACGCGGCATCGGCTCACCCGGATTGAAAAGTTATTTTTTAAATACTCCATCTCGGCTTCATCCCTGGTTCAAAGACAGATGAGAGAGAGAGAGAGAGAGAGATCCAAGGAAGTGCAGAAGTGGGGAGAAAAGAAGAAGATCAGACCCCGTTTCCTCTGCTTCTGTGTGCAGCGTGCGTCACGTTGTGTGTTCTATAAAAGCTCCATCACGTGGCTCTTGTAAGCGCCGCGCGGACACAAAACCGTAATTCACTAAAAGGCTTAGGGGGTCGCGCTCGACGGAGGACAGCGCTTATTCGGGTGCCTCCGGACGCTTCAAGCGTTTCCTCGTTCGGCCGCCTGGTTGGCAGACAAGTTGTGATTTCAGGGTCACGCTCTAAAAAGAGCATCAGCATACTGCGTCGGCTGAGGAAAATCAGACTCTTAATAACTCGCTGTTTGATCGGGAGGGTGGGAAATTGAGGAGTTAGGCTCCGTCCAAGTTTAAACAGGCAAGATTAAGGCATTATGCCGAGTAAACAAATCTTAAAATAGGTCGGAGCACATTCAAGGGCCTGAGGACGTTTCAGCGGCTCGATTACCGCTGTGGAAGCGTAAAGCACCGAAGTTGCGCTGCAAGAATACGAGTTTACATTTAAAGAAGAAAAAGGGATCTTTGCAGCGGACCTCCCCCCCGTTACACTGCATCTCTTCCCCATCTTCTCCGGCTTGGTGGTGGAGCACAGAGCCAAAACACACAGGACTTTGTTCCTTTGTCACAGTGCTGTTAACAATGAGCTCTGTTCCTCTTGTCAGGATAAAAGTGATTACACTTAACGGATGAGTCATATATGAGTCGTTTGATGTGCGTGTGAATGTTCTCGATAAAAAAGGGGTTTATTCGGTGGATTCCCTCAACGCCCCCTTTGAAAAAAAAAAAAAGGAATCCGCCCCGGGACCCACGTCTTTGCATCTCGCTGCATTAAACATTTTCTTGCAGGAGCCAGTTTTAAGCGGGTCCGATGTGAACTTGAAATGTGCTGACTGAGCGGAGCCTTCCGTTACCTCGTCCTTCCCCTGTGTAACACGCCCGTGATCCTCTCCTCCCACATCTCTCCGCGGCCATCTGGTACAAGTTAGTCACCTGGCGGTTTTCGGGAAGAGACAAACGGCGATGGCCGTTCCCTCCAAACCAGTGGCCTCTATCTGCAACGGGCCAGACGACGTCTCCCCCCCCGGGAGCTGCTGTCGTGAGATGAAGCCGCGGCGCCTGTGAGAAGAGGATGAATGGAGGCCGGCGTGGCGCGGTGTCGTTTAACGTGCAGCGCGTGCACGCACACACACACACACACAGTTGTTGTTAGACGGTGTGAACGGATATAAACAAAGAGGACTGAGGCTGATCACTCATCATCACGCAGGCGCGACACAACTGGTATCGTGCGGGTTGCAGCGCGATGCGGATGATCAGGGATGACTGAGAGGCTTCTTCCGGGCTCCTGCAGAGCTGGTGGAAGGAGACGAATTATGCATGCAGCTGGGGGGGGGTTTAAATAAGTGGGCTGCGGCTGTAGATTTCAGTTAACATGAAGGTTTATCGATATGATGATGATCCTAAACTCCGCCTCTAGATCCAGCTCGCTCTTTTGTGGAAATCTAATTTTACACATTTCGCGGAGCGCATGATGTCCCCACACCTTCCTGAGCCACCGGGAGAGGACGTGGTGGAGCCAACACTGTGTACACGAGTCAAATCTATTTTTAATTAGTTAAATGAATTCCGTCTATTATTAAGGTTTCCTTGTATACATCTTGCATTTTCTGCTCCCTTATTTACTGCCCTGTAAGTAGAATGATTTTGCTCCAGCATTACTTCTAGATAGATACTTTATTGATCCCTCAAATTTCCCTCTTGAGGGATCAATAAAGTATCAATCTATCTATCTAGAAGTAATGCTGGAGCAAAATAATTTCCCCTTGAGGGATTAATAAAGCAAGTATCTATCTATATCTCTCTCTATATTATGTTTGTATGAGATCTGTTTGATAACTTTATTAAAGGAATCTAAATATTTTTAGAAATGAGATTTTAAAGCAAAAACCTTTGCCTGCAATGGTTATTTTTTCACTTTTGTAATATGTCTTCTTTCAGAATAATGAAAAGAAAACATTCAAAAATACACATTAAAGGGATTTGTTTTTACTACACGTTGGACATTTGTGTCCACAGATTTATCCCAAGTTCACCAGCAGTTAGTTAGATAATGCCTCATAATTTGACACAGTCAAACATAACAGTTCAGAAAACTTCAACTGGTTTTATGGAGGAAATATCTATTAGTTTTTAATAAGTTCTATTCACTTGATGGGGCTAAATGTTTGCATTTTCAATTCTCTCAATAAAAAAATGTAAGTAATCAACTTACACCCGCAATGTTTCTCCTTAAAGAGTGAACCAACGTAAAAAAGAGAAAGGGGGTTTATGAGAAGCCTCTGTCTTTGTTGTTAAGGGGCTGACACCATGAAGTGGTACATCCTTCTGTTGAATTTCTCCCACTATCACTCTGAGCCTCACACAAAAAGAAAAAGGTTTCGGATCGCATTAAAAAAAAACACCTTCTACAATGACATTTTGAACAAATGTCATTGTAATTGCTCTCAAAATGTCATTCAAGTGTCCCCTTCAGGCTTCGACCTGAAGAAAAACACACCAAAAAGAAATGATGTGAGAAAAACAGGAGGGGACTGAAACCACAACCACTGTTCATGTGACATGAACTTGTTTGGGAGGAGAAACAAGAGCTTACAAATAGGAACTCAGAGCGGAAATGGCTCTCATCCACCAACTCCTTCCATGCGGTTTTGTTTATCGCGCTGCTTTTATTATGAGTCGTAATTGGATTTTTATTTGTCTGCACGTCAGTCTGAGAACGGTACTGTACCTTAAAGACCCGGATTTAATAAGGCGCACAGTGGAAGCGCTGGAGCAGCGTGCCGAGGCCGTTTAATTAGATCCCTTCCCTCGAGTTTCCCGTCCTGCAGCTTCTGCTGCCTCCGTTTGGAACATAATTGAAGATATTTGGACTTATAGTGGGATCGGGGGCTTCCTGGCGGGCGCTCTGACTCTGACAGACTCTTATGATTACACACCTTTCTTTCAATTATTTCAAAGCGTTTCTCCCTTTCGAAACCCATCCACAGATTTCCAGTCAGGAATAGTGACGGAGCTGCAGAGTAAACATGCTTTGTTCCCTTTTTAAATGTTTTAGTTTAGATATAATGCTCGTTGAAGGATTTGTGGTTTAAATAATTAATCAACTAAAGTAAGGCAGATGAATCATGAAAGAAATCATTTTCGGTCGCCATAAAAAAACGTATATGAAACTGGACATTTGTATGTCAGTGTTTTTTATGATGTCACATGCAGCGTGTCCGTAAACATACACGAGGTTTATAAATTGCACACTTAACCCCGCACATACATGCTGTATGTACAGTAAGCGTCTCTCTGGTTGAGATCACATTATTGCCACTTGCATTTCGATTCAAGGAGACATAATTCAAGTTAGAGCCTTTGAGCACATGCAAAGTTGTGCAATATTCATAACTTGCACTGGACCCTCTACTCACGCACTCATGGGATGTAATGTTGGTCGGCTTTCACCAATTCCTACCGCGGAATTATCACCATTTTGTTACCCTGATTATGCACAAACTCAGTGAGGGACTTTCTCTGTGTAGCTTTCTCCAGGCTGCCGTAATCGTGGTCAGCTTCACGGGTTACACAGCGGTGCTGCACCAAAAAAAAAAAAAAGAAAGATGAAGCAAATGGGGACGGCCTGCCAAAAAGCTTTGGGCAGCTGCACTGCTAAGCAGGTAGCGATCTCCCCTCCACTCGTCCGGCTGGCTCTGATCAAAGCGGACGGCTGATTAGATGAAAACAGATTGTGTCCCCGTCGTCTCTGCTGTCTCTGGGTGGAGGCGCACGAGGCTACAGCTCCTCTGCTGATTTTCCTTCACGCGCACGGCGTCCTTTTAACCTACGCCTGTTAAAATTGGCATCGGAAAGGGGGAGGGGGCAAATCCCAGGGTCTCCCTGGACCCTGTCCGCCTGTCAGACAGCTGCACCTAACAACCCCCCCCCCCCGCCCTCCCCCATCCTTTTCTCGGGGATTTCAGAGAGATGGGATCCTTCAACCAAATCGGCTGAGATTGCTCGGGGGAGTATTAGGGGAGCGCTTAGATTTCAGGTTACTTTTTACTTTGATACCAGTAAATCAGGGTGCCTTCACGCGGTTTGGAGTGCTCATAGTGTAGTAGCAGGCCGAGCCACGTCCCCCACCCCCCCCCAGCCCGGACCCTCCACCCTGCGCACCTAAACTGCAATGCAACTGAGACGTAATGCCGAGGTGGTTGTTGTATTTAAGGTATTCTACAAGCTGCAGGTTTACTGTGTTGCTGCTCCAACAATGGCGAACTTTAAGAGCAGGTGGTCTCCTGGTTTCAAGCGAGTTCTCTGCACTCCTATGAATGCAGAGGATCAATACTAAACTTGCCAGTGAGGGAGTTTTGGGTGTAGCGTGTACTCCTTTGGTCCTTATCAGGACTCTGGCAGCAGAGTTCTGGATCGATCGTGTTTGATTTATGTCTTTTTTCCCCAGACACGAGAAGATATCTCGTAGGTCCAGCCCCCTGCTGATAGAACATGCAAGTGTCTGTGCGCTGATCCACAGAGAAAGAGCTGCACTGTGCTGCTTACACGCCATTATTCAGAGGAATTAACAAATGACGGTATTCAAATAATTGATGGGAAGAGAATTGCTGTGTATCATAAAATAAAGATCTCATTAAAGAGTACACAGACGGATGGCTGGACAGATACGGGGGCCCTCACCTTGGCATGGACGGCGGAGGAGGCCAGCAGCACTGAGGCCTCAGGGGGACAGTGAATATCCTCCTCGAGGATCTTCTTCTTCACCTGGGGGGGGAAATGTTCTGAATCACTCATGCGGCTTCATACTCTCTGGGCCACTTAGTTGCTTGTTAAATCTGTTAAAACGGTATAATGTCGTATTTCATAAAACACAAGTCAAATGCACTCGACGCCCTCGCCAGAAGAGCGTCAAGAGCCGGGAGGAACACAACCTCTCTGACTGCGTCGACAGAACTTCATTGCCCTCATTTTACACCACAACAGCTATCAGGTGCCGTGTGGCTACGCCGCAGGTCCGGAGCTGCACGTTTCAGAGAAGTCTGGAAACCAAATAAATATTGCAACAGTTAAGCATCACAGCCACACGGGGACCTATTAAGACACCGAAGACAGCAACCACGCACCTCGGCCAACATCATTCCGTGTGATCATTAAGCAGCTCAAAGAATGCCTGCGTGCGCGTCTGCAGAGTATAAGGACGTGGCGGAAGGGCGATCCCCCCTTCCAGGACGCCTCCCGCCGGGCTTAACGGCTGCGTCTCGTCGGGTGTCACTTCCCCAGCGCCGTCACCCGTCAGACTAATTGAATCCCACACAGAGAGCACGCAGCCAGGCGGTGCAAAGCCAGTCGCGCTGTCCGCTGGTGTTTTGAGCTGAGGAGGAGGAGACGGCTGCCGGCCGGTCGAGAGGAGCCGCTGCCGCTGCCGAGCCGGCGGGCCGAGGTGGCGGAGACCTGCATTTCACTGCATTTCCTCCATGGTCACTACCGATAAGCGCTAATCCAGCTGTCATGCCTGTGACACTGTCTGAACAGAGGCCTGCTCCAGACTTTTATGGGAATTAAGGAGAGCAGAGTCATGAGGAGACTGGCGAGGCCCCTCCGCGTTGGCATCCCCCTACCCGCGTAGCCGGCTGCCGCTTGGACGTCGGTCCAAGCGAAACTTATTAGTCGGCTGTGGCCTTTGTTTGTCGCTTTTTTTTATAGTGAGGTTCCCCTCAGAAATAAATCAATCGCTTCAACTACCTCCAAATGGATTAAGGAGGCATGGAGGCTTTTTACACGCCTTAAGTAGATAAGTGCCTCCATCCAAACGATGAGGAACACAAACATGCCGCCGTCTCGAGCCATATAACTAAACCTGCACGATGGGGCTCTGAATGCTGTGGGCGATGAGCCCCCCTATGGAGAATATGTCATTAACTGGGCCTGAGCCCTTAAAGCCTAAGTGGTAATTGATAAATGTGGCTGGTAGCACCGAGCTCGGCGCAAAGCGGCAAATCTAATTTCTCGCGGGTAGAGCCGTGTGGCATGAGAGCAGTAGGTGGAGGAGAAGGGAGGTAACATGTTGTGCACTGACTCCACACTCCAAAACATGGGTGTAGCTACCTGCAGGAAGAAGAGATGCTTCGTGATGTCTTGCACGAGCTCCTCCTCTGCACTTTCAGGGTAAAACTTGGCCAGGAGGTGCAGGGTGATGGGTTCCTCCTTCGGTACTTCCTGATCCAGAACCTACGACAGTAAGGGCCAAAGAAGTGAACACACGGCCGTTCCCCTTTCATCGGCCGCCCAAAAGACCAGGACATGGCCGAGGTAACCACTCACCTTCTGTTCCATTTTCAGCCAAGCAACTTGTGTCCTTTATGTCGTACCGGAGTCCAAAGAACCACGTCTCCTCTCAGTCCCAGAGTCCGGCACACTCAAGTCAAAGAGGTCTTTTCCTTTCCACTTCACCTGAAACACGGCATGTTTTTAGCCTCACACAAACATCTCAGTAGAGAAAAGCCAAATAATGTTTAATTGGTTCATCCCGCAGCATACAAAAGAACAAACCATGTGCACACGTATGAAAGGGCGAGAGGACAGATTTGTTTATTGCATCTACTGAATGCGTTCACTTCCATCAGAACCCCAGTCCGTGGTTCCCAGCAGGGAGCCGGACACCTTCATCCAGCTGTTATATCAGGCCACTCTCAAGGTTAGCATGAAAGAAACTGCTGGAAATGAGAAAATCAGCTGCACGGGGGGCGGAAGACACAACTCCTATGAATGAATAAACATTGCGTCTGCACGGCCAGAACTCTTTAAATGCTATTTACAAAACCCATAAGTGATGCAATTATCACCCGGGCACAGAAAATAGAAACCTGCAACTAAAATTATGTGGCTCTGTGTAATTACTGGCTTTGAACTTTTTTCCTGGCCGGGGTGTTCCTCCCCTTTAAATACAGAGGAGGTGCCCTCATCAACCAAATCATTCACAACACACCAACAAGGGCCCAAAATACTTCACGAGGTGATTCAGCAGCACTGCAACACCGCAATTGGGCTTCGCCATTGACCAAAATGTGCACGATTGCATAAGAGGGGTTTTTTTTGTTGTTGGTAGAATTAACCCGCTGTGACGATTGCTTTTCTTCTTCGGTGGTTTGCTGCCATCTAGCGGCGAAAAGAGAAAACGCTCCCCATGACTTCTTCCGCTAAGGCGCTCGCCATGGCGAGTGTCTGAAGGAAACCTAAGTTAAAGTTACCTGTCCACTTTGCTCCAAGGCGTTGACGTCTACAATGTGTCACGTCATTTACCGAAGCGGCACTTAAGTTAGAATCTAACGTTAACGTTAGTAAACTACCCGTAACGTTACACGCAAAGTTTGAAACTCTCATCCCGCGCTGACGTTATACAGTCCGCTGGAGTTTTCATCTAAGCGTCCGATGAATGATGGTTTGTAAGTTAAATATTCCCTTGTATACACTTGTGTTGTTGCGTGTGGACTTCACCGGGGAGGCAGCGCTGCTACCTGCTGCCAACCGTTGGTCAACGATCACATCCGAAAGGCAATGCTGCGTTGAAGGACCACCCGGACATTGTAGTGCACATGAACGACCGTAAAGGAGGTGCTTTTTTGCCCTTTTTTTCCGAGATTATGATGCTAAATCGAGGTTGCTTATTCCATCAGGAATTGAATTGATCATCTTAGTGTGTACTATGATTGCCTTAAGTACAAATGATTGACCTAATTGGTGTCTTTCACTGACCTATTTGAATAGGGGAATATCCGAGGATAGTGAAGGAAGCACAGCTTGTCTTGACCGGACAACCAATCACGCTGCACTACACCTCTTTGGCCCCGCCCCCGGCCATGCCCCCTGCGCCATAACTGGGCGGCGCCTGAGCAATGAGGTAATCGGGGTAAACAGTAAAGATGGCGACTTCTGTAGCCGAAGAGGGGCAACGAAGTTTAAATGGGATTATTTCCGACACGCAAACAAAAAAGATGACCGACCTGCCGACCGAGTTACTCGAACACATCCTGTGCTTCCCTGTCCTCAAACATGACGACATTTGCAACGTGTCCTGCTGCTGCAAGCGGCTACACGACGTGTGCCACGGAAGGGGGAAGGTCTGGGGACACCAGTACAAACTGAGGTGCGATGATTTTTCTTTCTGACGTCTTTCGTCGCAGTTGTGGCCTCTGGTGGCCTTTCATCGCTATCCACCTAACCTCGTGTGCCCGTACATTATTGTGTGCCTTGTTCAGAGCCCTTAATAGCCCTGCTTAAAGAAGGTTTCCCCTTACTGCGATCGGCCGTTGACGGTCTGCTGATTGCACCAAATTCAGCATCGCGCCAGTGCGAGTCGCAGGCAGAGCACTCTGCAGACCCACGGTGGATTTAGTCAATTTCGGTGCTTAAATCTTTCCCCAAGTTTCAGCTGATGATGCATTTTACCCATAACTGCCAAAAATGAATGTGAGATTCAATGCTACGTGTAGCCTGTGCACTGCAGGATGGTGCAGCTCCTGCTTAAATCTAAGCCCTTACTGTCTCTTTATTCTCTGCTCTTGGCTGCTGGTAGATCACACAGTAACGTCATATGCCGCTTAACTAATTCTGAGCGGGCATGCCCAAAAGTCTCACTGAAATGACCTTTTTCTTACTGCCCTCATCAACAGATGGCCGAGACTGCAGATGTTTTACCGTCAGAATGAGTGCTGTGACTGGCTCAGGGAATACAAGACGCGCCACCGGGTCGGTATACAAATACGAAGGACCGTGGAATCAATCTCCAGGAGATTCTTCACAGAAGTCGTAAGTAATCACGAATATTTCATCGTTACGGCAGTGTTATAACAGACCTGCAGTCATGTATTAAATAGATATTACAATATGCAAAAGACAGCATTCGTTAAACCGGTAAAGCTTGCAATGTTTGTACTGGTTGATCAGTGTCGCAACCCCCCTCGCTGACGTGACACGGAACAGCATATCAGCCCAGCTGGATGAGAACGAACGTGAGCGTTTTACATTCCAAACTAACCCAAAGATCTGTAACTCAGCCTTGCGTTGGCCAGGTGCTGGGTGACAGCTTTGCAGAGATCGAGTCGCTCGGGATGCCGGAGCACTTCTGCGAAGACGAGCTCCTCTTCATACTCAACTCTGACAAGAGGTGAGCGCGTCAGTGTGTGCGCGCACGGCAAAAAAACCTCAACGAGTGCCACACACACACTGCGTTTTGCAATGATTATGGTTTTGGGGGGTTACGCGTTGGGGTGGTCATGAATGCTCCTGTTGTGTGACCCTTCGACCTCTAGGAAAAGCTTGACCCTGAAGTACTATGCAAAGAAGATCCTTTACTTCCTGAGACAACAGAACATCCTGAGGAGTTTGAAGACTTTCATGGAGCAGCCTGCAGATCAGCAGTCGTCTTTGGAAGGTGAGGCAGGATACGGCTCCGTTTAGCTACTACTTAGTCCACTTACGGCACGACGTTTCTGCTACTTGGTGATTAGCAAAATAACAACATTCATGTAACGTATGCGGACGTCACCGTGACGTTGTGCATCGCCTCTCTTGGGTCTTGTCTGCCTCTCTAGGTGCTGTACTGGTTGATCAGTATTGTAACCCCCTCGCTGACGTAACACTGAACAGCATATCCGCCCAGCTGGACGAGATCGCCGAGAAGGTGAAGAAGATGCTGAGGATCAAGAACCCCTCTCACCCCAGCCTGCGCATCGCTCAAGGTGGGCTTTCAAACGGAGCGAAAACTGCAAATTCCTTTTTTTTTTTTTGCCCCGGAAATGAAAGAGATCTGGGCAAATGTGTCCGCTGCACAGGAGCCAACGTTGTGATGAAGTTCCCTTTCGTGTGTGTGTGTGTGTGATGTAGGAGACTGTTCAGTCGTGCAGGACTTTGAGCTGCAGAGGCAGGTGGTGTGCGCCCTAAACTCTGTCTTGTATGAGCAGCTTCAGTACAAAGGCAACGAGTTTGACTACTACAACCCTCTGAACTCTTACATCCACCAGGTAGCGCTCCGACGGAATGATGAGCATTTCAAGCATTTCAATCAACTGTTTAAATCCCTGGACGTTCTTCCACGCATTTGACCGACCGTCTTCCATTTAGGTGCTACTACGCCGCACAGGCATTCCCATAAGCCTCTCTGTCCTCTACATCAATCTAACCCGAAAGCTTGGCGTTCAGCTGGAACCCGTCAACTTTCCGAATCACTTCCTGTTGCGCTGGTGCCAAAAACCAAAAGGGTAAGTTTAGAAATAAATAACTCTCAAGTTCCTCTATATGTTGCCTTCGTGATTACAGCCGTCACTCACACAGTTCATGACTGCAGAGTGAGAGCATGTGTGATTAGTTAACTCGGGTCACATCCATTTGATGCGCCATAAAACTCTTATATGATGCGGTATCATGCACAGAACTAGTTTCCTCCACAGCTGTACAGATAATGACTTTGTGCTGTCATTAAACATTACATTGTTTCCTATTAGCAATATGTTGCTCTTCTCTCGTTTTGTGATCCAGTTTTGTTGACCTGTCAATTGTTGGATTTGTATTACTGTAGAATGAGGTGATTCTCCTTCACGGTTGGCATGCAGAACTTTAGTCGGTTGCAATGTGCAGCTGCACCACTAGATGTCATATCATACACACTGGACCCCCTAAAACAAATTATTTAACAGATTTACGTTGAACACATTTACATACGAATGGATTTGTTCGCGTCTCCGCAGGAGTGAGGACATCTATGACTTTGTGTACATTGATGCCTTTGGTAAAGGCAAACAGCTGACAGCCAAAGAGTGCGAGTACCTCATCGGCCACCAGGTGACGGCAGATTACTACAGTGCCATCAGCACCACCGAGGTGCTGCTCAGGATGGTGGGAAACCTGCTGAACATCGGTAAACGAGGGTAAGCGAACACTTGATTTGTAACGCATTTAAAGGTGACCAGGCATAAAAGAACAAATGACGTCACCTGTACGGTGTGCTTCCTTTCAGGGAGGGCAATGAGAAATCCTACCAGCTGCTGAGAGACTCTCTGGACCTCTACCTAACTATAAACCCAGATAACGTGCAGTACCTGCTGCTGCAGGCACGCCTCTACTTCCATCTGGGCATCTGGCCAGAAAAGGTGCGAACACACTCCGATGAGATTACATCCAATCCGATATGAACCGTCTTTCAGAACAAAGCACTCGCTGTGCGCCACCTAAGCGCATCGTCCACTGACGTGCCGTCCTCTGCCGCAGGTGCTTGACATCCTGCAGCACATCCAGGCGTTGGATCCCTCCCAGCACGGGGCGGTGGGCTACCTGGTGCAGCACACGCTGGAGCACATCCAGCACAAGAAGCACCCGGCGACACCCGAGGTGAAGAAGCGCAGCGCGCCGGAACACCTGGAGGTCCAGTATTCCGTGGGCCTCATCATGAAACACAAGAGGTGGGTCGCATTGGTGGCGGTGGGTCTGACCCTCCGGATGCAGTCTCCTCACAGTGTGTCTGCCCTGCCCCCCGCTCCCTCTCCACCAGGTCGGGTTACAATTGTGTGATCTACGGCTGGGACCCGAAGTGCACCATGAGCCAGGAGTGGATCACCACCATGAGGGTCCACCAGCTGTCCAACGGGGCCAACCAGCCTTTCTACAACGTCCTCGTGCAGGACGGCACGTGCCGCTACGCAGCACAAGGTACGCGTCCTGCACACCGGTGTGGCGATGGGAAATATTGTCGTGGCGAGCAAGTGTTCGCCAGTTATGTGATTTACAAAATAAAGATCATTCATTTGTATATGTTTGATAAATTCCCGTGGAAAATAAATGCATCGTTCAATTCAGTAACTACTAATAAATGAAAGTGAAATGACACAGAAAAATAAATCCAGTTCCCGTTTATGTGTATTTGCACTTGCAAAGGAGCATAGAAAGAATGCATTCATGAGGCCAAAAATGACCCCAATTGTTGATTCAATGACGCACGCCTACTTTGTGTACACAGTTTTGCTAGTTATTTTTGGGGAGGGGGTTGAAGGAGTAGGATAACATTGGAATACATGACAAACTGCTTTACTAAAAGAGAGAAGACGAGCGGAAGTCAGCAGCACAAACAGTGTGAAACTTCCAAGTTCTCGTTCAAGCATGTCGGTGGTCTTGCATGTATGTTAGTAATGGGTGGCTGACTGTTTTGTACAAATCAGGATCCCTTAAGCACGCTGTCTTTTAATCCGAATGTCACTCGTTGGTTGGCGCCCCTCAGAGAACCTGGAGCCGCACTCGGCGCCGCTGGAGATCGGCCACCCGGAGGTGGGCCGTTACTTCTCCGAGTTCGCCGCCACCTACTACTTTGCCAACGACGAGCTGCAGACACGATACCCGGAGGACGTCGTGGAAACTCTGGGCACGGTGCAGGAGCTCTACCACAGACTGACGCCCGGGGACGCGAACCCGGACCGGGCCTCCGCCGCGGACCAAAACAATCACCGCGCCGCGCCCGTGTAGCAGGGTCGCCGATGGCCTGGCCACCCATTCTCAATTCGCAGTCCACGCAACGGGATGTGTGCAGCGGAACAGTATCAGTTTGAAGAGCCAGTGGGCAGTATTCTCAGACGCCGCTGAATACGGGTTCACAAATGTGAGTCAGGAAAAGAAACTTCTGGGAAAGAAGCGTTGAAAAAGTCAAAATCACGCGGCTGAGATTGTTTACTGTTTCGATGCACACGTCTGATACCGCCGTGTGTTGGTTGTGAAAACGAAGGCCTGACTTTAGAGGGACACGGCCTAGACGAGGGATGCGCAGATGCAATAATGCAGTTCAGGAGAAGACGAAAACACAGCTGGAAGACGAAAAAGAAGAAGAAAAAAAAGTGTCGTCTTGGACACACAGTTAAGTGGACGAGTAAATTGAGGATGGGTGTCCACGTGTTGTACATCTTCCCCTTTTACCTGAATCCACGGAATGCTCCTTTAGCCAGAGCTCCGCAACCCTCCACCACAACTCCCCGCTCCCAACACCAGTGAAATAAGCCCCCCAGCATACGACCCGAACCCCCCAGTTGCAGTGCCACACTTAAGACTGTACAGGAGATACTTTGTAAATTTACTTCTACTTTTAATTCCCCACCGTTTTCCTCACGTTTAATGCACTTACGAAAGTTCAACTTTCTCATTTGTAGATTAGCTTGTTTGGTTTTTTTTCCCGCGTATTTACAAGCAACAAAAGAGGAACCCAATAACTCAAAAGCAGAAATGAATCGCAGCTATGAGGAAGTTACCAAAACAATAAAGCGTTTCAACTTTTAATCTTTCTTCTCGCTGACTTATTTCGCTGAGCTAATTGACTATATTCCTTTATTAATCTAATGCCCATTATGAATTAAAATGTACTGTAAAAAAACGTAAAGAAACTGTATGACAGGTAATTTATCAGACAGTGTGCTTGTTTGGGGGTTTTGTGCAGATGCAAAATTAAATTCAGATTGTTCATTTCATACAATGGATATAAATTTAGGTATGAGGCAAATTACCTACATTAGGCATCCTTGGGTATAATGGTGAAATGACAAATTGCGTTGCTATTATATATATTTACTTATAATAATGTAATGGCAACATATATCAACTTACTTAATATACGTATATTTACAAGAATTGGATTTACTACCTTATCCTTTTTTCCTAAACATGTTATTGATTTGACACCATTAGTGGCAAATGTATTTTTTCCATCACATGTCTATTTCGGTATATTAGCAGTAGAAGCAAGCAACAAGCCGGTATGTATTTTATCCAGCACAACTGTGCAATGTTCATATTTGGAAAATTCGCCAAGTTTAGCCGATAAAAATTGATCGTGATGCAGTTCGCGGTCCATCACGTGGGTGTAGTTTTCACTGCGGCCGCCAGGCGGCGACAAAGTGCTTCCAACAGGGTTGGTGTATTGGTTCATTTATTATAAACGCCACCTGCGCTTCATTAAGACCGGAAGTTCAAACAGGTGCGATCAAACGCAAAGGGACAAAAGTGATCGAAAACTACAAAATAGGATTTCACAAATCTCTTCCTTCCATCACAGTAGAACATGAGAACGTGTGAATGAAGAGGCGCCGGGCCTCATGTTGCGCCCCCGTGCTTTACGCACGGGCTGCGTGGATTTAGGACCTCGAGGATGCCAAAGGGTTCCGTGCGCGTGGTGCGCGCGCGTAGGAGACCGCGCCAGTCGGACCGGACGCGCCGGTGGAGCAGCAGCAGCAGCAGCAGCAGCGATGGGAGCTTCGCAGACGCGCCCCGAGCACAGGCACCAGGACCTGGCGGACAGAACCGGATGTGAGTATGAAAACGAACCCGTCCTGAACTTTCCTTCAGTTTGGGCTCCTCAGAAGCGCCAAAAGTGGCGCATAAAAGTCAGCCGCCAGGTGACCCCGTTTGGATCGGATGGGAGAACGAATGCGGTGATCGGCTTCAAAATAAAGCGCTGGTTCTCATCTAGAAGATCCGTTTGATAAACCACATAGACGTTTGTGTGTGCATCAATTTGTGTTTTCACTTCTTACTCAAACTTCTGCAAACATCCTTTTTAACATAACTTACTTATTGTCTCTTCCTCCCCTATTGTGATGTGATGGTGTATTAAATAAATAACTGTGTGTAGATTTATTTTTCTAAATCACATGATTCTGAAGTGAACTCTTTGCACGAGGAGTTTGAGTAGTGAGACTTTATTGACCGCCTCGGTTTGAGACTTTGAACCGTTTTGTTATTGCCTTCATTTCCTGACGGTGGGACTTGGACCCCGTTTCCTTCTGGACTCCGTGGGAAGGTCAATGGTCGCGTCTGTTCTTCTGAGCATGTGATGAAAAGCTCCCTTGCAGTCACAAGCCACACAGCAATTACTCTGTTGTTGTTTTCTTTCACATTTGCTGATTGCACCACGTCATCGCAGCTAATTATGTGTCACATCGGTAATGGAGGCACCGTTCCGCTTTGACCAACAAACTTGTCTCTGCACGACGCCGTTGTCTGTCTCTGCATATTATTCAGCACAAAACACTCGCTTGGAAGCTTCTGAGAAGAGGACAAAAGGGTCCAAAATAAACAGCTTACCGAAAACAATTGGAACCACTTAACCTGTCTGCGTGAGGAGCCTGAGAGCCTTTCGCTGTGGGGTCACTAATGCACAACGTGGGTTAATGATTCAAGGGACTCTGGCATAAAAAGACAATCCGGGACAACAAGCGCTTTTTTGTTCTATTGATCCGATAACGGCGAGAACTTGATTAGATCAACAACGATAAGTCTCACGGACCATTAAATGAACAACCCACAATGTGTGATTGTGCATTTCAATGACCGTTATCTTCTGTTTATTATCATGTTGAAACAATTGGTTGGAATTTCCCGAAGCCTGTTTTAAAGGGTGTGGAGTGTTTCTGGGAGTTTCGTTGACCTGCCTTTTGTGAAATTTGGTGTTTTGCTTCTTTTCAGTTTCACTGGAGCAGATCAAAAACCTTCACAAGAGATTCCAGCAGCTGAGTGGAGACGAAGACACAATAAGGTAATTGAAAGGAGAACGCTGGTGAGCTGCATGTGGTTTTCATGAAAGCCATTCGGCCTTTTTTTCCATTTAAGGAGGAACTACCTGCATCGTGACTGCAGTTATGAACTGTGCACGTCTCTGGCATCACCAGCGCACACAAGCGGCACACGGCTGAGCTAATGCAAATACAATCCGTCGATGCATTAAGCGCGCACACACACACACACACACACACACACACAAGCCAAAGTGGCATGTTGGGAGTGAGAGATCACAGATCGCTTCACTTTGAGAAGGAAAAGCGGGAACACGTGTTGCAGGTGTTTCTTCCCAGTTTACCTTGAGGAAAGTTACTATTGGTGCTTCAGTCCAGGAACAACACGGTGCGTTATCACAGCGTGCCGGTACTCCGCTTTCGTGATAATTCACTTTTCTCAATGTCTCGCCGCAGTAAAGAGAACTTGGAAAGCATACCGACGCTCGCCAACAACCCGATCAGAAAGCAAATCATCGGAGCATTCTTTGATAAAAGGTGAGTGAAATCGTATCACTCATACAAAGTTTCCACTTGTAGGGTTTTTATTTGGAATATATTTATATAGAGAGCGAAAAGAAATGTGTAAAGTGAGTTAACAGTCTTCATTGTAAAAGAGGACATTTCTCAACCAGCGTGTGTATTAAATATGAAATATAACTTGATGGAGGTCAACAGGATGGAAGTTTCTTCATGACGTGTTAAATGTGTGCGAGAACAAAATTCTAATTTAAGGCAATAATTTGCCATTTTGGAAAATGGCTCCCAGTGCCTTTGCTGAATGTCTGCTGGCAGCAGGAGGGGCGCCACATTTTCCTTACAGACACCAGAGGGGTTTTATCCTTTTTGGCCTCAGGTAAATATGGGCACCGGGTCACCTTAACCATGGAAGGTGTTTGAGTAGCACGAGTTCGTATCCGTATAGCATCGCAGCTTGAGGGCTAATTGGTGACCTAACTGATGGATGGGGAGTTTTTGCAGTTTACGAACTACGAGATTTATGGTCTCATCGTGGAACCAGCCCTTCTTTGTGTGTAAAAGGGGCGAACCGCTGTCTACGCAATCCACGTGCACGATGGTTGGGCAAGACAAAGCGTCTTCCCAGCTATTTGCAGCTCTGCAAGTTGAGGAGACACCGGCCCTATAAAAAGCCCCACTGCTTGAACTTTGTTCCATAACGGCGACACCTGGATGTCTTGTCTCCGTGGCCCAGGAACCAGCACCGGGGCGAGGCGGGCTCCTGCGACCAGATCGGCTTCGAGCAGTTCCTCATGGTCATGTCCCACTTCCGGCCCCCCACCTTGAAGATGACGGCGGAGGAGAAGGAAGCGATGAGGCGAGAGAAGCTCCGCTGTAAGGCGACGCCGTCGACCGGCCGTACCTGTCGGGGAAGATTCTCTGACGAAAGCTTTTGTCTCGTGTGTGTGTGTGCGCGCGCTTCAATGACAAAACACCAGTAAAACGTCCCCATCCTGTGAGGCGAGTATCGTATTTCACCGGCACCTTGAAGGGTGTCAGCTGTTGCGTTGGAGAGGCTGGTGGGTATTTTTGGGGCTCGGTCGGGAACAGCAGCTTCACAGAGCCAGGAGCCCAACTTGGCCTCAGATTCCATAGGACCATTCGATTTGGCTTCCGCTTCTGCAGACCCACCCCGTGGGGATGCGCTGGTGGCTTTCTGCGTTTGCCAGGATTCCGTCGGCTGGTTGTGGTCCGGATTAAAGACTTGATTGATTTGTTTATTCAAATGGAAAACCAAATGAACAGACCCAGAAAGAGGCCGCCGCCTGGTGTTCGGGTCAGACGCCATTTGCGTACGTCCTCAGAGGAGACTAAAAACACTTGATGCTTTTCAAACCAGTTTGACTCCACTTCGATTCGAGTTGTTCCTGCTTCGTGCAGCTGGGACTGTCTGCGCGTAACCTGATTTACATTAAAGCCTCGAGGATTCACACCCAATGTGAGACTGAACCGGGCCGAAGTGCAGGAGGGGAAGATTCGCTCCGGTTCATCAATTCACAACATCTACTTAGCCGACTAATAGCAGCCACGGCCCTTTCTCACCGCGGGCAACAAATAACAATTAAATCTACCGGTTAAAAGAGGACTTTCCTCTTTAGTCACCAAAAAGCTCATGTAGGTCGTTCACTGATAATTAGTTCTGCGTGACGCCATTTCAGCTCTTGAGTTTTCACTCAAAACCGGTTTTAAGCGGAAAGAATTCGGTCCTTAAAACGGCTGTGGATCATGTTTAGTTTGTTGTATTGATCATTTGTACTTATTGATCCACTGCCAGAAATGTGTTCACTTTGGCATTTCCTTGTTTTCTTATCAGTCTGTTTTGAAAACAAAAAGAAAGGCCGGTCTTCTTCTAAGCAGTACTTATTTTACTTCCTTATAGAATAAATGCAGTTGTGATTTGAGATCGTAACGCTTAAGCATTGTGCCGTCCAGGGTACCAGAACAGGAGTCGGGTCACTTTCTTTAATAATTCCATAAACGTTTCCTTAGACTGGATTTCCCCCGGTATGCATCAAGGCGTTCTCGTTGCCAGTACAGGTTTTATTTTCTAAAAAAAACAAACCTTGTTGCACAAAACCTCCATCCAGACGGGTTTCGATAAAGGAGATAATTACCAAGCTGTCTCTGCTTCACACAAACCATCCATCTCAATGTTCACTCTCTGTTCGCTGCGTTTCCCCTCTGATGGCGGATTTGATTTATCTATTTTGATTGAGCATGAATCAACCGCTCTGCTCTCCCGATGATACGTTATGAGTTGAGCCAGTTTGACATCTATTGACTGTTCAGAAACGACACGGGCTGCGCTGTGCAAATGTCCTTCGCTGCAGGACTTGTTTTAGTTTCATGGGGCTGAATCTTGTCACTGTCAATGAAGGCAGAGGCATTTTATACGGGGTTTGTTTCTTTACGTCCAGGGTCGTTATTCTGCGCCCCGTCTCTACATCTGGAACATTCCTCTAAACACAACCTCCTCCTCGTAAGACGCTCGACAGAAAGGTCCTTTTTTATAAGTCGCACTAATCCAAAGGTTGTTGTGTTCCTCACCAGTCCTGTTCAACATGCATGACACCGACAACGATGGCACCATCACGCTGGTGGAGTACCGGAAGGTAAGATGACTTCATCATGTTCATTAACGGCTGGAATGGTTGTCGAAAAAGCCAAGGTGTGGTATATTAAAGTCGTACGAGGAGATCATGTAAAAGTCATTGTATAGAATACTGTACAGAATTATATTTTCAATATTAATAATTTCAACATTTTGACGCTACATTACATTTAAATTATTATTATTTTATTTTTTTACTTTTTCTTCTTGAAATTTTATGACCAAACATGTTTTTACTTCATCTTCAAAACATTTATTGACGTAATTTCATTTGCGGCAGATTAATAAAATGCATAATAAAAATCATCTGTTTGAAAAATAGTAGTAATAGTAGCATGATACAAAAATGTCATAGAAATGTATAGAATGCCTCTTACTGAAAGTGAAGTGTCTCCTCCTTGTTTAAGGTAGTGGAAGAGCTTTTGTCAAAAAGCGGCAGCATCGGGCAGGAAGCTGCCGAAGCGATCGCAGATGCCGCCATGTTGGAAGTGGCGAGCACGAACGTGCCCACCATGGTAAAGGAACCCTCCGGCAGGCAGCGCGATCCTCACCGCGGCATTTCCGCAGCCAGTAACCTGTGTGTGTGTGTGTGTGTCTCTGCTCCTCCTCTCAGGGCCCAGATGATTTCTATGAAGGGATCACATTCGAGCACTTTGAACAGGTTTTTATTCACCGTTTTATGGGTCATCAAAATAACCCGACTCTTTCTTCAGTCGCTTACTCACCAGCGCGTTCTGTCGTCTGCCCACAGATTTTGAAGGGACTTGAAATGGAGAGTCGGATGCACATTCGCTTCTTGGACGTCGACACCACCACAATGAGATGTGGCAAATCGACCTCTTAAATGCTTGTAGCGGAAGTATTCCAAACGCTCGATGTGCACTAATATATTTTTGGATGGTGAGAAGTAATTCATTTACTACCAAGTACTTTTATACAAATTAAATGAAATAAGATTGTTTTTCGTTCGGTCTCCGGTTTGACGCTAACGCTGCCTCTCTGCTGCCCCACAAGTTGTTCAGTGAAGTCGACTCGTGCTGCTCGCTCGTCGGTTTACGGCTAACGCTCAAAGAGCAGCATTCCTCTGCAGCGCCGCGGTCGTCACATGTTCAATTGATCCGCAAGATGAATGATTACGGGCTTGTATTGATGGATTGAAGTGATAATAACTAAAGAAATGCATGTGTAAGATTTTGTTTAGAGAGACTAATAAAAATTGCACGGAAATCTTTTTTGGTAATGAGGTAAAATACTTTTTATTGCTGTAATATTTTACAGTAGTTTCTAAGACTGACCCCTGTACACAAAATATATATTTAAAAAAAACTTTCCAAAGTCTCCTGATTTGACGAGCATCGTGAAAGTCATTGAAAAGCGGGTAAAGTCCCTCCGCTCGGAGTGACCCGGTGTCAGAGCGCCGGGCGGGAGCCGGGCAGCCGGTCGTAAGGAACCGCCAGGCCGATGTTGTAGTTGTAGCCGGAGGACTCTATGTAGTCGGACCTGCAGATGGGCAGGATGTGATCCTGAGACAACGCGTCCTCCGAGAAGTCGTAGTGGCAGATGACCCCCCTGTGCCTGAGGGGATGAACAGGAAGTCATTACTTTGAAAAGGCTGAATTCGTAGAAGCAAATTTGGGGGAAAAAAAGGTACGTTCTATCCGCTCGTGGAGAAAAGAAGAGCAGCGTGGGAGCGAGAGCGGCGACCTGCGGTGAGCTGTGAGGTCATCGTCTGTGATGCACGCCCCCCTCGGAGACTTGTCGTCGGGGACGTTGGCCGTTACCAAGGTGCTGGTGTTGAAGCGCACGCGCCGTACAGGATGCCTTCAGCGGGGCAGAAAACACACCGTCAGTACAAGTGGGAAGCAGTGTTTCACCTTCTTTTGGATGTGGTGCAAAATTGGTTTCAAAATAAAAGCGTGGTCAGTGCCGCAATGAAATAAACATCAATCCGCTGAGACAATAACCTTATTTGTGTCACTTTTAGATAATTTGGCAAACAATAAGACATGAATGAGAAGGAATAAAATGTCTATAATCCCTGGGTTCAAGCGGAAATAAAAGTTGTGTGTATTTTGTCAGCTGAGCTTGAGGACGCCCCCCCCCACCTGTTGTGCATCTCCCACAGCTTCGCCCCCATCCGCATCTCCCACACGCACACCAACCCTTCGCCGCCGCCGCTGACCACCTTCCAGTCGTCCGCCTGCACCGCGGTGACGCCCAGGTGGTGGGCGTACAGGGACGCCACGGAGGAGCCGGCTCGCAGGTCGAACACCGTCACCCTGAATCGGGGACGAGCGAAACGCTCGTTTATTCACGGGGAAAACATGGCACATCAAAGCGAGCCCTGCGAAAGGAGGAGAAGTGAGCACAAGGGCCGGATTCACCGAGGTCATTTGGGAGGCGTTGGAGAGGAGAGTAGGAGAGAAAGCCGCTCGTCAAAGGCTGGATTCATTTACAGACAAAAGGACACTATTCGCCAGAGCACTTTTGAAGGAACGTTTCGACATTCAGTCGGGGGAACGAAGACAAAAGAGATGCTGGAGCAGACGTGCCAACGCAGGCCTCGTTTCTCCTGAGCTGAAATAAATCAGTCACAAGGGTTTTATTCACCACGTCCACTGGATATGGGGCAAAATACAGAGAAATATGGAAATAACAGAAGATGAAGCCGTAACATCAGATGAGACCCAAAACAAACTGAATCGACAGAACAAAAAGGAAACGTAAGGTTTGGGCTCATATAAAAGTAGCAGCACAAATACAAGTCAAGCACAAATGTGCTGAAAAAGTAATTAAGTAAACAAATACATTTCTTTAAGGGTCTGAATGTGATCATGATTTTAAATATGGTTTAAGGTTTTTTATGATGATCATTTGTTTACTGATTTTCCCCCCAAAAGCACGTCATAAATTGTTGACCATCATTGCTATAATTATTGATATCAAACGATGTGTATCGGCGGGGATTTTGGCCGCCTGGGTTCAGCGAGCAGCTCGAGCCCGGGGGACCTGCAGCTCCATCTGTCGTCATTGTGGCTTTATTGCAGCTGAAGGCATCCAGGACATGACTCCATCCGGGCTCAGCCTCCTTCCAAGACCTCATTACCATAATGAAATTCACTTAAGGGACTCAAACTGATTACATTTTCGCTTCCGCAATTTGACTTTTTCCCAGATTCAGAGCTAAATGGCTAAATGGGCACGGCGGCCTTGCTGTCTGCAGTTTGCGTCGCCCGTTTAGTGGCATTACGTGATGGAGGCGCACATTTAAACAATGACGACTGAGGGCCACTGGCAGGCCGCGGGGGACCCATAAATCTAATGCTGGAGGACGGCCGTGTCTTCAGTGAGCCGTCCGTGGCCAGACTCCTCTTCATTAATCAGGAGGAGCTCGCCGGAAAAGGTTTTCGGATGACTCCAGTTGGCCTTCTGCAGCTGGAGAGGCGTTTGGCGTTTGGACTTAAGCGCAGTGGTACTTTTGAGATGCTTGGCGGCGTTGGGGCAGATGTTACGTCTGCGTCCTCACCCTCTTAGCAGCTGATGTCGGACCTCACATGAGACTCGTTCATGTTCTAATCTTAACTTCAGGTCCAACAAGCGCTTTCTTACTTGAGCTAACAGCGCGAGGACCAACGTGAGCGTGATGAATGCCGCCTGTTCGTCCATGAGAAGCAGCAGAGGAACGTGTGAAAACAGCGAGTTCTGTCAATGCAGAGTCACGGAAATGAAGAAATGAGAACAAACGGGAGGAAAAATGCACCAAAGTTGTTGTTTTATCCCTCAGAATTACTTCAAAGCAGATAAATATATAACAGCAGACTAGTGACGCAGGAGCCTGCTACAGGTCCGGTCCAGCTGTAAACTGTGATAATCCACATTGGATGGATGAGGAAAATCTTCTGACTTGACAGGTGGTTCCTGCACGAGAGGACGACTCCTCCTCCTGAGGGCCAAGAAGGTCTTAAAGAGCACATCCGAGCGCGGCCGGACGAGCGAGAGCCACAGGTGTGTGACACACTATCTCTTCCCTTCCTCTGGCTGCATCCAGGTTTGCTCTGAGCCCCCCTCCCCCCCCTAGAACAGATGTAGCACTTATCAAGACCCCTCATTTGCTTCCTGGATCTCGGAAATAATTTTAAAAAAGACAAAGGGATAAAAAGAAAGGATGCATTAGGCTTTGGCCTTGAGCCACCCTGTTGTGGGGGGGGGGGCCCAGATCGCCGACCGTCTCCCGCCTTTTGTCTTCCGCCGCGCGTGGGAGCCCGGCGAGTGCGCGGCGCCCTCTGTCCTAAAACCAAGAGTAAAAATCGTAAGAGGAATCGGATGAAGGCTGAACGGCGCTCTGGCGAGGAAACAACCGGCACCTCAATAAAAAAAAAAAAACAGCGCTGAACAGACCCCGAACAATACGACGTCGTCTGCCTTTCGCTTTAAGCCAACCACTCGGCTGGCCAGATGGATTCGGTGGTGAATGGAAGCAGCAGGGGCGGCTTTGGATGAAGACGCGCGCCAGGGATTCGCCTTCTGCTGCCAGCTCGTGCGCCGCGGCGCGCGCTAACGAGCGGCGAATAGACGAGTGGCTCTTTTATGCGTCTTTCCTCATCCGGGGAGCCAGGTTAGCGAGGAGGCGTGTTTGTGTGTTCGATCACCTCGGACGGATTGGATTTTTTGTGATGTGGTGTCCCAGGTAACGGAGGCGAACAAAACAGAAAACACCTGTTCTCCAGCGGAGGACTGAAGCGTCAGTGAGGAAACAGTTGAAGAGAAGCCGTTCATCCATTTGTGACCTTTGAGCTCCTCCCACTGCCTGACAAGAAGGCGGCGGCGGCGACGGCGGCGGCGGCGGCGGCGGCCTACCTCCTGTCCTTGTTCCCGCACACCAGCAGGTGGGGGGGGCTGTCCCTCAGGTCGATGCAGGTGAAGTCTCCCAGCGAGTCGCCGACGCATGCCACGGCTTTGCCCGTCTCCAGGCTGCACACGTGGATCTGAGAACGAGAAGGACGAGAACGTTACGCGAGGTCGAAGACACTCGGTCGGAGTTTGCTTCTATTGAACCGTGCAGGAGTTTTTATGCCCCTTTTCATACTTCGTCCTAATGAAATAAGAGGCCTCTGGCTCAATGGCTGCCGCAAACTTTTCTTCACACAAACTGCAATGATGTCATCCGGAGCTGCCCTAATTGGTCGATTAGCGGCTGGTGTTTTCTCATCCAAATGAGACGGAACAAACACAATAACCGCCAGGCAAAATTGTCTTTGAATAATTCAAACGATTAAGAAATTAAAGCGAGGGACGGGGGAGGGATGGGGGGGGGGGGGCAGAGCGCCAGAAGGTAGACAGGGAGAGAGCGAGACGGAGCGACGACAATAAAGAAGTTTGACTGAAGGTAAAAAAGGAAGCCTTGAGGAGGTGCCAGCTGTTCTTGGGTCTAATTGAGCAGCACCAAATCACTGGCTTTCAAATGACAGCTTGATAGGATTTGGACAGTGGAGGAGGAGGGGGGGGGGGGGGGCTCTTTGTGATCGTAAAGGGGGCTGTTTAGAGACCTCGAAGGAGTATCAATCATGAGCATGACCACGGAGGAGTGGTTGGGTTAATGCACTTGCTGCAGCCCCACCGAGGCTCACAGACCAAGGGGACTCCAACGGCGGCGCGTGTAACTGGACGTTAATGTAATTACTCACTCCGCTTTCAGAAAGATGAAACATTCGTCAATTAGCGCCTCGCTTTAGAGGCGAGCTCCGACGCAGCCGGGCGCCTGTTGGCTTCCGTTTGTGGAATTCATCTTAAGCGGAGGATCAAAACACCAGAAACGGTAAAAGCGCCGCGCCGCCGGGAGTCGGAGGCTGTTCACGCCGACCAACCGACCATCGGATGGGAGCCGAGGTGCCGAAATCCAATTGTAATTCAATTTCATTGTGTTGCTCTGCTCATAAGTGGTTTGTGCTCATGTTAGCTGTTGTTGTTCAGCAGCATATTAACCACACAGGAGTCGTGAACATCACCGGGACGCTGGGAGCCTGAAGATAGGCCGGGGGCCGTTACGACTCAGCACGGCAGCGTGCATGGCAGCGTGCACGGCAGCGTGCATGGCAGCGTGCACGGCAGGAAGTAACAGGTTTTTTTGCCGAAGCTGAACATACGATAAGACGCAGAGCTGCACACACTCAGCGTCTCACTTACAGACAAACGGTCACACGCAGGGGAGCGCACACTTCTCCTGGAGGAGATGAAGGCAGTGTGTGTGTGTTTGTTGTGTGTGTGTGTTTGTTGTGTGTGTGTCTGCCGACCCGAATGAAACAAAGCCGCCTGGTCACCTCCGCTGTGCTTTTTGGGGGTTTTACTAAGTAAATGAACCTGATGGTTCGATGCGTTGATCCTCATTTGGGACAATACCTAGAATACATCTATATCAAACCATTCATCTAGCCTTCCAGGAGGGGGGGAGGGAGGAAGGGGGAGGGGGGGTGCCTGGGGAGATGCCAGCTCGAGCTGACCGCCCAGCCACGAGCTGGGTGGGTGCCCCCGGTCGGCTGGCGAGGAGTAATGAGGATCCGGAGACTGGCTCCGACCACACAGACACACAGACACACACACACACACACACACACAGAGACACACGCACACACACAGAGACACACGCACACAAACAAAAGACGGGGAGGGATAGAAGACAAAGCCACAAGATAAACAATAACGCAAGCCAAAATATGAAAAAGAATCCTCTGAATCAGACACAAAGCGGGCAGATATTTGACAAAAAAAAAAACTAAAAACAACTCAAACTAAAAACATGACAATGCGTTTGGGGTTCATGTGAGTCGGAATGCTGTAAATGAAAATGTTTCACTCTTCTGAGAGATAAAAAGGTGTGAGATGACTTCCTTGGATGTCGCAGTGACAGATTTTAATGAAGCATATGTTTTCTTACTAAAGGCAACACATTTACAGCAAACTCTTCTTTGTCTTATTCGCAGTATGAAAATGCTGTTGGAGGTGTGATGAGTGTGACAAACAGGTTAATTACGCTGTGGTATATTTTAATTAGTAAGGGAGAGAGGTATGCTAATCATGAATTGGCATAAATTAGACTGGTGTTCCTGCTATAATCACCATGGAAACAATAAAGTTTGAAAAACTTTTTGTGCCTCAAATAAAATTGCGATGTTCACAAAAAAATATGATTTAAGTTGGATGGAAGAAGTTAGTCCCACTCTGAAAATGGACGTACGAGGTTTTATCGGGTTTCATTGGATTGCATCAACGGGGGGTACGAAAAAATAGTTTCAGGCAACAACAAGTGGAAACTCCCCAAACCGGATATTTCTAACTTCCAATGGCAAATGTAGCTTTGTTTAAAATAGGAAACGTACTTTTCTCTTCTCACTGTCTACCTGGACCTGCAAACCATCTCGGACACGAGTCCCTTCCCCCATTGCATCAAACGGAATGACGAAATAAAATGGAGAAAGGCAGACGAGCGGCTTTCTCTCCTACTAGGAGCGGTGATGTCAGCGGAGGAGCTTTGCCAAAAAACTGTCCGCCACAAACAGATTGCTGCGCACACAGGCGGCGCGTGCTCGGCCCCAGTCGCTGCTGTAATGCTGCCAGTCCGGCCTGTCGCTACGGCAACTAACATCTGCCTTTCTTTCGTGGTAAAACAAATAAATGAAATACGTCTCGACGAAGAGCGCTTTAAAGCATTACAATGCCTGCTGATCCCAACAGAGCGGTTGGTCTCTGTGTACAGGCCCGAGAGTCAATTAGGAGCACGCGGCCCTTAGTAACACAGTATTATTAGAAGCAAACAGATGCAGCTCAGGGACCCAAAGTTCATCAAAGTACCCCGAAAGGGCGTCGCAATTAGGAGCAGGGCCCGAAGAGGCCACGCCGCTATTTACGCAGGCTATTTCTACTACAACCCGAACCCCCAGCGGCACGCGGCGTTCATTTCTAAGGGGACGTAGGAGGGGTGGTGATCAGTGAACCAGCTAAAAGGAACTTCAAAAACTCCATTTTCAAAAGGCAGTTTCACTCTTAAGGGCAGAAAGGATTCATCAGTCTAACAAACTAATAAGCTTTTTTCATTAAGCGCCTGTCGGGAGCACGAGTGACCTTGTTAACTCTTCTGGAAACCTTTCATGCCAATTAGCACAGTCTGGCTAGAATTTTCTTTCTTTTTTTTTTTAATAACACATCTAAAATCCAGCTGCACATTTCTGAGGGTTTGCCATCTACTTTGTCCACATTAACAGGTTGTGTTTGGGTTCATTTGTCTTCCTGGGACTTTTCCGTTCCAGGAAGCACAAAAGAGGCCTTGATACAGTTCCATCAATGCCATTAACATACAAACACTAAAGTGCTGCTCACAATGGACGAGCTAATCAGCAACATTTTAAAAGTAGCTCATTCACGTTTGAACCAGCCACCAGAACTGGTCCTGCCTTCCAAGGCATTGGTTCCTGATGAGGGATCCGCACCCGCTTCAGTTAAAACACCCAGAGTTCAAAACGTCTGCTCACAAGCTCTCGTTGCTCTCAACCAGGCGCTGGATACACTGGATTAAAGTGAAATCGAGATTATATGATTCCTTGAGGTGCAGATGAAGCCACAGGTGGAGCGGATGATGTCATCACTAGAGCCGTGTGACTCGTATGTGTTTAAAGCCCAGCTATGCTCTGTGTGACACTGCTAATTATTTCACTGAGACGTGAAATGCTCCATTTCTAGTTTAATTGTCGCGGCGTCATCTATTAATGTCCTTGATACGTTTGTTACTCCACCTTGTTGCCTCCGTCGTGCATCGCCCAGCCCGAGCGCTTCACCCCGAAGGCGACCTGCGAGTCCGAGGCGTCCAGGCAGGTGACCGGATGACCGTAGACGGAGTGGAGCGTCCGCGGCCCCCCCCCCCACCGGGGGTCCAACAGGTGCACGTCCTCTCCGGCCGACAGAGCCGCCAGCGGGCCCTGCTGGCCGCGGCCCGGCACCAGAACCAGGCTCTCCACCTGCCGGGAGGACGAGGTACACGAGGGACACGTTGAGGCGGTTTCGCGCTCTTATGTCCTTCATCAAACAGGCGTTATTTCCATTGCAATTTTTAGAAACATTGAAGCAACATATTGGACCATTAACACAACAATTTGGAACTGAAGGGGTTTTAAATAATGTATTAATTCATTTGTTTCATCAATTTAAAAGCTAAAATGATTCAATCTACGATTGTACCTGAGAAAAGGTGGAACCCACTAAATGTTCTGCATGTTGCTTCAAAAAACATAAATGGGAATTTAAAAGGATGAAACATATCAAAATCTCCCTCTAAATGCTTCAGTCATTATTTCACATGAAAAGGGGGGGAAAGCAGGAGGGAGGCGTGGGGGGGTGGAGGGGGGGTGTGAGGCGCAGCCTGCTAATGAACACATGGAGCGTCCCGTACGCGTGGGGAATCTTACGCTCTTGGGGAGCCGGGCCCGACACAGCTCTCTCCAGTAGCCGCGGTCGTCGGCTCCGACCAGCCGGACGTCGGCCCCGGCGGCCGAGCCCAGCGCGGCGCCGTCGGGGCTCAGGGCCAGGACCTGGACCGGCTCGGGGCTCTGGTAGTGATGGATGGGCTGTCCGCCCGTCTCTGTGCTCCACAGGTCCACGCAGCCTGCAGCCAGGACACGCAAACGCCTCCAGTTTGACCGTTTTAAACGTGTGTGTTACGATGAATGTGTCGCTGATGCAGCGTAAACACACACACACACACACACACTCTCACCGTCTTCATAAGCAGCAGCGGCGACGGTGCTGTTGACCTGGACGTGGCTGACGTGCGGCCTGGGGGCGGAGTTAGCCGACAGGCCGTTAATCTTTAGGAAAGAGGCGGGCGAGTCCCAGTGCAGCGTATCCCACAGCCGGACGTCGCCCGACGTGTACCTGAATGTGTGCACACACACACACACACACACACACACAACCATTCACACGTTTAGCGTCGCACAAAGAGGCCGATGAATAGAAACACTGTGCCATTGCCTCTTTGCCCCTAACAACAACAACAACTCACACTTGTTGTTAGTGTCTTTTTAAATTATTTGTCACATGATCTTTCCGGGCTAACGTGGGTACCGTGTGGGGCGGAGACACTTGACGCGCCGCTTATAGGGACGCAGAAGGGAGTGAGTATTAACGCCGTGAAAAAAACTTATTCAGTGCTGCTTTATATAATAGTGCTTTTTAAAATGTTTAAAAAGCCCATCATGATTCACTAAAACATTGTTAATAAAAGAGCATGAAAAAGGGAACATGTTTATATATTTTATTCACTGTTGAGACTAATTCTCACACTAGAGAAGCTGTAATCAGCAAGTGTGTGTCTGTGTGTTTTTATGCGCAATAAATCGGATTGATTATGAAAGTTGTCGAATCATTTTTCAGTCAATCCATAAACTGATTAACGAACCAAATGTTTCAGCGATGTTTGACACGACCGAAGACAATGTGGTCGGTGCTTTGGAGCTGAAACGTAACACAGTAGCTGAGTGATCATAACTTATTGTTTGATGCATTAGTTCCGGTTTCTGCAGTGTGGTGGATTTGTAGTTTGCACCAATCAATACTCAGCAGATTCATTTTTATTGTTCCTGTTTTTAACTTGAAAATGATGATACAAGATAAATAAGATGGAAGAAAGCCTTTTCTCCCTCCCCCTTCCCTCCCCCTGTCACACTGCCATCCTCAAGTATCAGTCCCCCCCACTTCTTTGCCCCGGTCCATGAGTTGTCGCAGTGGGGGACGACCGGCTGCCAGCACTACCACCTCCCCGGATTCCAGCATGTCTGAGCGAGCATCCGCCTGGCAGCAGAGTGTGTGACACAGTGACAGCGAGTGTGCCAGAGTCTCGATGGTGTGTGTGTGTGTGTGTGTGTGTGTGTGTCGTGAGGATTTGGCAGGAAACAAAACAATAGGAATACACACTTTGACTTAATTGGTACGTCGCCTAGCAACAGGCAGAAGATGTCGAACCGCTCGCCCGCCGGGTCACAGAGACAAATCGCCTCCTGAGGCCAAATCTCATTGCACCGGTTCTGCCGGTAAGATTTAGTGGATGCAACTGAATCACCAAAGATTACTCCAAACTGCCATCGATTAGGTTCTCGTTAAACAAACTCAAGTACCTTCACTTAGATAAATGATCCTTTAGGTACCAATAATGGGAAAAGTATTGATGTTGTGAATTTGTTAATAGCCGTGGTAGAAAAAAGCCCCACGGGTGAGTTTCACGTTAACTACACGGGACTCTTCGGGTGCGCCGCGTCCCCGTTCCCCCCCCTGCTGCTGCTCACCCGCCGGGAGACGCAAACAAAAGCGTCTTCTCCGAAGAGACGCGGCAGGGCCGAGTGGGAATCTAATCCCCGACGCTCCCCGAAGACGCCGCGCGGCTCCGCCGGGCTCCTCTGGGGCCGCACAATCTATCACTGCCTCGGGGCTGCTATTTCAGGGGGCACGTTCGGTTTACACCCAGCAAGTGCTGCCATTAGCGGGACCAGGTCGCACGAGTAGAATGATGTGTGACGGCACGCACCCATGATCTGACAGCTGGATCAGGATGTCGACTGAAAGGTGTTCATCATGACTGGGTGTCGGGAGGAGGGGGGTGGGAGGGGCTCATTCTTTATCCTCATTAAGGCAGCTTAAAAAGGAAGAACGGTTAAGGCTTTTGCAAATGTGAGGAGGGTATTTTCCATCTTCCTCTCAAATATTGCGAGGAAATCGAAGACCGAACGCTGTGATTTATTAGAACCAGCCATGATGTCACTGACTCATTACACCGCCGAGCCAGCGTTCTTCAGCTGCTTTTGCTGCCCACAGTTCCTGTTACATCTCACCAGCACCACTTTCACAAACCACCTCGCTGATGTAGCGGGCCGGTTGCCATTCAGTCTCAACCCCACGCCTGCATGTGACATATTGCTAATCAAACAGCCGTGCATAAATCAGATTTATAGACAAGAATCACCCAGACAATTTATGTGAGAAGATAAAGAGCGACATGAATACAAGGCCGATTACTTCGGGTTGAATACGAGCCGTCAGTCACAGCGGATGGAAGCGCACATCATCAGATGTCCTTGAAACTCACCCGGCCAGGACAAAGTGGTCCGAGCAGCTGACGTCACACAGAACTTTCCCCAGCTCGAACTGCAGCTGGCTGATGGATCCCACCCGGTTCTAGACAGAAAACATGACCGTGAACCACGCATCACTTCCTCAGTACAAACGGCTTTATTAGCAGGTCAGCCGTGAATCCAAAAACTGGCCTAAAAGAAGTGATTTTGTTACATTTCTGTTAACTTTCATAACATTTTGTGCTTTTTAAAATTTGTATTACAGTTAAAACTGTTCAGTTCTGATGTACCATCAACTGAGCATCATTTACACCAGACCCCCACCACCCCCTTCCCCGGGGGAACTTGGTCGATCCGGATTGATCACCTTCCAGTTGGAGCGCACGGTCCTGGCGGAGCTCCTGCAGTCTCGCAGCGTGCTCTTCCAGCAGGGGGAGTCGGACACGCTGGCCTCCCGGTGGTGGCCCTCCGCCGTGCACATCCGGAACCACAGAACGCCGTCCTCGGCGAGCGCCCTCCACGCCCTGCTCACCTGGGAGGAGATTGGACGGCGGGCCGCTGGATTGAGTCAGCATGCATTAACGGGCTAATTTATTCGTGCTTAACGAGCGCGGCCGACCGCCAAGAGGACTTCGGGGTGCAAGTGTGTAACTGTGATTTAGGGACTTCCAGACGAGCTGAGCTCAGCGAGCCGCTCGCAGCGTGATCACTTGACGGGAGAGGATGCCAACGGGACCAGAGAGATAGGAAGACATTCAGGAAAGAGTGCAAGTCTGCTGCGTTTCAGAGGTTCAATTAGTCATGGAAGCAGCCAGAGAAAGCGACTGAAAATCACTCAGCTTCAGGCCTCAAAATCACATTAAAGATAAACCTACATCCAAACGGAGCCAACTTGAGGACTCAATTACTTGGATGAGAAATGTTGTGATTCACAAAAAGAGCTTCTTTTCATTCAGAATTTCTCGTGTTGACGCTTGAGAGGTTAAAGGTCAAGCTCTGTTGCCCCGGTGTGAGAGAATTGTCACCGTCTACACGTTTATGACAAAAGACGACACGGCTCTATATGGAAAATGGGAGGGAGCAGAAAAATGGAATGAAATTGAAACAGAATGAATGTTGGGCGCGGTTTGGCTCATTTCACACTTAAATAAGGAGCCCGAGGCTCAGACTTGTGAATAATGCAAACGCCTCGCCAACAGTTCACCTGTGCGCTCACCTGCGCACATCGGCCCAGCTCGGCCCGGCCGAGGTATTGGAATATCTTCAGGGCCAACTCGTACGGCAACTCGATGTCAAAGAAGGGGATGTCGTTAACTTCGTTCTGCAAAAGAAAACATTGAAACAGAGATTCTTTTGTCTTTCACCTGGTCAACCACCATCATTTCGGTTTATACCGTCATCCTCGTACCAGATCTTGAATAAGTTGGTCCAACAGCTCCTCATCTTTCTTCACCTTCCTCTTAGGCTGCTGCTGCTGCAGCCTCTGCTGCTGTAAGGACGCACTGCAAACACCAGTCATGCTTTGGTACTGCCTCTTTCTCCTGCTTCTCTCCTCCTGAATCCTGTCCAGCAGGGGACTGGTCCTCCCGTCCAGCAAGCTGCGTGCAATGGACACATATTGGGGCTGATCCTCTGAATCCGAGCCGGCTGAAGCTCTTCCGCCACCACCTTCGACGCGTGCTTCACCCTCGGTACAGCCGTCCCCCGCTTCCTTTGACGGACTACGGGACTCGTTGAGGTTTTCCAAGTTTTCAAAATAGCTATTTTTCAGGTCTCTGTGGCCGCCCGGCTGGACAGGTCGCAGCTCGTCTCTGTCACTCGTTAATTCTTCTTTCCAACGCTCCCTGAACGCAGCAAGCTCGTCTTCGGCCATATTTCTCAATCATCCTCGATTACAAATAATAACTTTAAAGAGTTATAAAGCGGTGTCGTAGGAATTTATTATGAATCCGTACCAGAAAAGGGACGGTCAGCTTTGTTCCGGGTGGTAAACAAGCAACTGTCCTTCACTGTTAACAGTCCGCGGAGGAACAGCGTGTCGCTGTACATTGGTTCCGCCATCTTTTAATTCCGCAGTTTTATTATAGGATATGATAAACGTTTCTGTGGCCACAGTTGGAAACTGTTCTGAGAAAAAATGCAAGTGTTTCACATCCCATGTCGGTGGGAAGGTCATATTTGACTTATTTAGTTTTCAAACAACACATTTTACAGAAGGTAAAAAAAAGGGAACACAATGTCCCACAACAAAAGACTCCTCAGATCAAACCAGGCAGGAGCGATTCAAGAGTTAACCATTGCCTCTCTCTTTTGAGAAAAGATGATGTAAACCCCTCACCATGTGACACAGTAATGAATAACACAGGGGAGGGAGAGAGAGAGAGAGAGAGAGAGAGAGAGAGGGAGAGAGAGAGAGAGAGAGAAAAGGGGGAGACGCAAACACAGTTAAGGTCTGTTGAGAGGAGGGAAGGGGTGTCACATATCCTCAAGACTTGAAGAGAAAAGACTTGTTGTGCTCTCAGAGAAACCATGTGCTGGCTACCGAACGACCAGCCGCTGCTCCTACCCGGAGCCTCCGCCTGCGGCGCCCGCCGCCCCTCGCCGTGCTCGGTGGCTCAGCTGCTGGCGTCGCGCCTGCGGAGGATCGGGGACCAGCTGGAGAAGAGCTGGACGGCCGGGGACCCGGGGAGCGGCTCCGGAACCGGCTGCGGGGGCCGCGCGGAGCCGCTGGCGGCCGGGCGGGGCCATCTGAAGAGCTTCCTGTGCACTGCGCTGCACTTGACCGTGCTCGTGCTGGTGGTCGCGAGGCGACACCTGTAGGGCGCGAGGCGGGAGGCGGCGACAGCAGCAACAGGTGCGTGAGTCACGTCACCCGCGTGCTCGATGGCAGTAAACACGAATACCTTCAGCTATTGTAGGATCCATTGTGCAAATACAATTTTTGGGAAAGTACAAATCGGTTATTTTTCATCGTAGCCGAAATGTTTACGCCAAGAGTAGTTGCGTAAAAATACAATATAGTAAATATCGTCAAAAGCTTTTAACAGAAGTTTTATTTTGGTCTGTAAGTTGAGAAAATGTCTACATCCTGATGTGTATTAAGAATAGATTATTGGAAACAGTGAGAAAAGTGTGGCCCAACGCGGTTATTTTTATTTTTGAGATGTTTCCACGGTAAACGTCATAGTTATCATCGGATTTAACCAAAACTAACATAGCGTGAAAGACAACTACCCCGTTTCATTTAGCTAGTCACCCGTGTGTAGAAAAATGAACAGGTGCTGTTGATGCTTTGAATAATTGATGATAATTGATGCTTAATAAGTAAATCAATTATATGTTAAATGTAGCCTTAATAAACAAAGCACATAACGCGTTATTAATGGATTTAATTATGTTTCGCAGTGAATAGCATCTGTTTGAAATTGGCAAGTGGATTTTTTTTTGTCTTTAGTATGCCGTATACTTTAAAGCATCTCAAATATGTAAGTTGTTCTGACAAGTTGAAATGAGATTGCATTTTCCTGGTCTGCATTCCACCTCAACGTGTACTTTATTTACGTTTGTGCTCATTAAGTTCATGTGTTGTACATTCCAGGTGGATCCTTTTAGGACCATGCACGAGGAAAGGGCTCACATCATTTGCACTACAATCGAGGGATGCAGGAGTCAGGAGGCTGCGGTCCAGGATGGGAGGTGTGCAGCGAGGGAAGGACCGAGAGAGGAGGAAGAGGAGGAGGAGGAGGATTTAAATCAGCCTTTCGGGGCCTTAACTTTGAGCCTGAAACTCTTTACGCCACAAAGACTTCCGTCAGGCCCGATGCAACACTGAACCCTGCAGTCAGCCCCCCCCCCCCTCCCACCGGTTACAAAACGGTGATGTAATCCTCCCCTGGTACCCTGGTAGAGCGGAGGGAAAAGCTTAGGAATAGGACTCCCTTTGAATCACCTCCCACCATGCGAGTGCAGCCATGGCCGACGGGGTTAGACTGATTAGACCTTTAAATGCACTACGCTTCATAATGCACTGGGCCGTTTTACATAAGCTATGCCGTGGAAATACTGAGAGGAGGGTTGTTTTTATAGGTGTGCTCTACAGTGTTTAGACACATGCTCGTGTGCTTTAGCATCATCTGTTCCTTTAGTGTGTTTTCATCAGATGCAGGACCTGCGCATCGGGAGTTATGCTGTCTGTTATTTCTGGAAATAAGCTTTTCTCTGATATATCAAATGTAATGTGAAAAGAATCACTGACAACTGTCTTTTATAAAAGTGTGTGCTATTTATACTTTTTTTCAATATTTCATGTTTTTTTTAGTGGGTAAAGTAATAAAAAAAAATCTTTCTGAAATACATTTTCTGCGGGTGTGTTTACAATTGGAGAAGAAATGCGCTGGACAAAGTGAGCTCAGAGTGCTTTCATTCCTAAATGAAAAACCTTAACAGCGTATTAAAGTCATAGTGTCTACGAGGCAAGCAAAGGAAATGATTCATATTAACAAGATTCACATGGAACAACAAAGGAAATGATGATTATAAGACGTATTACATGGAAAGCGGAATCCTGCTTCACCGCACTGGAAAGGAATCTCTAAAATGCCTTTATTAATAACCAATATCTAAATATCTCATTGCTTTCCAAGAACTTGTTTTACATACTAATTAAAACATAAAACTAAATACAAAGAATTATAAAAATCATTAAATATACAAACAAATGCGCTAAATTGAACACAAATAGAGTGACTATTTATATGACCACCACACTAAATCACAGGAACATTTCATTATGTGTTTAGCGTATTTTACATGCACACAACAATCTGATAGTAGTACAAGGTTACATTTTTATCATAAGCGATCACATGATAATTTGGTTTTTGCACACACGGCATCTGGCTCCGATGTGCTCAACGCTGCGGACGCACAAAAAGGAGCCTGAGAGACTTCTAGATCCTCCAAACAGAAACCAGCAGTCTGGTTTGTACATTTGGGCCACAACTAGAAGCCCCTTTTGATCAGCAAACATAAAGCAACTCAGAACTCAAATCGGCAGATGAACAGATAAATTGTATTCAGCTTTGTGGAACTGTGTTAGAATAACAGGTGAAAACTACTGATTGTAGGGATCATTTTGGAAGCAACACTGTAAAACATCCACTGCTAATGTGTAATGCAGCGGGATAAATACTCTGGCAGAATGTATGAACGTCCATTTCCTCCTTTCAACGTACGCAGACACGGAGGTCTTCAACAGGGGGTCCGCGAAGGTACTGCAGGGGGGGGGGGTTGCGGAATTTTTCGTTGATAAGACAATTCTTTTCCCCCACAAATGTAAATGTCTTCAGAATCAGAATTTTATTTATGGTCTTTAAATACACATTAACATGAATCCAACATATTGAAGCGAACGGATAAATTGATGGAGAAGACGTTATCTGTCAGTGCGCAACACACACTCAGCGTCCCTCAGCCTCAGCACCGGCCAATCAGATCGCGTTTATGCTCACGTCTAAAGAGCGCAAAGCTCAAAAATAATAGATGGTGGACCAAGTTCCGTAGAATAGGGGGTCCCTGCTCCACCTCGCCATCAGTTTGGGGGACCTTGGCTCGCAAAACGTTGAAGACCTCTGATTTAGCGCTTTAATAAACGAGCCCTGCTGCTCATTAGCTGCCTCTGAAATGAAAGGTCCCCCAACACCTGGCTTGAAGGGCTTCCCTTCATCTAAAAGACCATAAAGATACACACGCGCTCGGTCGCTTTCGCCTCTCCAGTATTCCTAAATGGGGCCCATCGTGGTCCCTCCTTCCTGAAGGACTCTGCCTTAAACATGAGGGGACGAACACAGGGGACCTTTTTTTCCCGGTAGAACTATAAACACAGCAACTCCTCGCGAAACACTTTCTTCGCGGGTGGGGGGGGGGGGGGGACACGCACAGCCAACAGGTCTCTTTTAAATAAATCTCCTTAAAATGTGATCAAAGTAGCAGGCTGACCACTTCCCAGACTCCTTACCTGACAGAGCAGAGCGACGGGGTCCCTGAAATCCGCCTGGCAGATGGCGCAGGCGTCGCCCGCCTCGCTGCACTGCTGACCGCCCGCCTTCGCTCCGTAACTCTGGACGACCACAGGGGAGAAAATTAAACTCTCATCTCAACTGCGTGTTCACGATACGCGAGGAGGGGTAACGAAGAAGTCCGATTCTGACCTGGGAGCTGCAGAGAACGGCCACGGCCCTGCGGATGGCAGCAACTCGTCCACAGATGTCAAAGGACTGCAGAGCAACAAGGACAAAGCATCAGTTTATTTCATTAAAAAACTTAAAAACGTGCTATTCTGTCGTCACTAAACTCCATCCAATGCGTGTTGAGTCCGCGTGGATTCAACCTCTGGGGACCACTGATGGCAGCCCACCCGTCTCACATGCTTACAGGGTTTAAAACCCAGACGTTCCTTTTTAATTCATATACAATCTACATTTTGATCATTTTATAGTCTCAAATCGTTTAGCTTTGATCGATTGCTCAACAGCAACAAGGTAGCACTTTTTCTCTTCAACATCTCAGCAAAGTAACACTAACGTGGACACACAAATATTGTTGATATGACTCTCACACTCACACACACACACACACACACACACACACACACACACACACCAGCAGAACAAGCCCATCAGATAGCAACAATCACTGCCGTAGTAAGAGAGGACTACCATTACAAATAATTCATCACTCGTCATTTGGCCTACTTCTAATTTATATATATATATATATATATATATATATATATATATATATAATATCAAACACAAATGACCTTGCAGAGGCTGTAGATGATGATGAGAGTGGCTCCCAGGAAGTAACTGCTGGACGGGTCTTCTCCCATGATGTACTTGTACCACAGCTGGATGGGCACCAGCGCCCGAAACAGCTGGCTCAGCTCCTCTATCAGCAGGTAGAATTTGCCCTGGATCAACGCAAAAAAGGGCATTAGTATTAACGGAGGCCTCTCTTGGTGCTTCTTTGTGTCCATATCGAGCAGCAACCTCGGGCCCCGAAAACCAAGATGGCGACGGCCTAAATGCCATGTTCCACAAACAAGTGACATCATGACGAGGTCCACTTCTTTTATACGGACTTCAGTGCAGACTACGGTCCGCCAGATGGCATTGGCTGATACTTTTGTTTGTAAAAGGCTCTTTTGAAGACCACACATCAAAACAAAGGCGGCCTCTTTAAGGCTTAACCAAAGTTTGAGCAAATGAAAATATTAAATGTGGACGAGGCGCACGCTCCCTTTGATCCACTCCTTTCAGCTTCGAGGCACTCTTCTATCTAGTCAAGAGCAGAGCGGAATTAAAAGCTTAAAACGGCACGCCTCCAGCCCAAACATGGCCGCCGTCCAGAGCGCCGCAGCCTCGCGGCGGTACGGGACGTTTCCATACGCTGCGAGGGAAACTGGCAGCGGCCCGTTCCGCCTGCTGCCCACATCGAGCCCCGCAGCGGCCCGCCAGACGCACTTAGTAAAAAGAAATAAAAAATTAAAAAAAGGACTCACTTCACTACATAATCGCGGGGACAAAAGTGCACCTCGGACTGCTGCAAGGGGCCCCGATTGAACCGGGGACGGTTAAAAACAGAAGCGACCGAAATGAAAAGAACTTGACCCCCCCCGATGGCCCCCGTAATGACTTCCTGGATGCTCGCTGACAAGGATTGATGAGTGCGGGTAAAGAGTTCAGCCATTCATCTTCCGTATTGTCCCCCCAGCCTGGTGTCCCACGGTGCCCATCACGCCCACGCAAAACAAACTGTCAAATCGTAAGTTTGGACAAGAGCCAAGGAGCGAAGGGGGGGGCTCGTTTGAGAAGCGCCCTGCTCATCCGGTTCTTACATCTTCTCATCCGCTTTCAACTTTTAAAATTGATGGTAATTAATTCAAATTAGACGGTTTTACTTTAAAAAATATATATATATATATATATTTTTTATTATATATATATATATATATATATATTGTGTAGGTCGTACTTTACTTCTTATAGGGGCTGTATTTATTAATAGTATTAATAGAAAGAGTAAGATAAATAGTTACTAGCCATATTAACCTGGGACTCATGCTGCTGTTGAACGGCTGCAGAAAGCCGTCCACATTAAACCTGAGTAGTAGCGCAGCAACAACAGAGCAACAGAGTAAGAAAACACTGCAACGTGCACAACAAGGAGGAGACTCACAGAAAGACGCCATGGAAGTACTGCGGGTCTGCTGCCGGGGCGATTATGTGAGATCGTTAGCGCGGCCGTGTGTTGGGGCGGATTGTGTGACGTTATGGAGTCCAGAATACACAGGACTGTTGGGCACAGTGGGATATAATGTAGGATTCCCTACAAACAAAGACAGCTAGCAAATGATTCACATGTGTGTACTATATCTGTGTGTGTGTGTGTGTGTGTGTGTGTGTGTAGGGTACAGGTAATGGTCCAGCTCCAGGGAGGGATGACCTCACCCGTGCAATCCCCTCGAGGAGAAATGAGCTCAGTGGTTCTGATAGGTCTGTTTATCAGTGGAAAATGTAATCCCAATACTTTGTAAACCCCCTCACAAGCAGATAACAGGTATACAGCTGCACCTGCATGGAAATCAAAGTCTTGAGTGTGTGTGTGTGTGTGTGTGTAGTCTGTTGCTTCGGGCCGGACTAACCGCACACACACATACAGTGAATTTAGACACCATTTCTTTTGAGTGCGTCACACTTGCTTTCCTTGGTCGCTCTGTACGTTTAGTAATGTGTTTAAAAAGGCAAAATCCACTGCTAAGTGCTCTTATGGGGTTACAGCTTTTGTTTTTTGTTTTTATTGCACTTTAAAAAAAAAAGTCAAATGCACATAATTAAATGCATCTAAAATGCCTTTAGAACTGCGTGTAGGGCTCATTAGATTTACAGTTACAGAGTAATGATTTGGGAAAAGACACCCTACGTGTCCCGTCAACAAGACGTCAAAAACAATGTTTGTGGATCTGTGCGGGTCAGAGGAATCCATGTGGAGGTCTTACCCTGGATTTAAAGGCCAGGAGGATCTTGGGCAAAAACAGGACAAAGCATTTCAGGCCGATGGTGAAGTACTTAAGGACAAAGTCGGTGATGCCCACAGCCCAGATCAGGTTAAAGAAGTCAAAGCTGCCGAGGTTGGGCTTGGCGAATATGAGGCTGGAAGAAAAAGACGACAACACGTCGATGAGCTGTGAGAGGAAGGTCTGCTGGTTTCTCACAGGATGGAAGACCGACGAGCAACGGAAAGGCAAACGCATGTCAAGAAAACTCTAAAACTCTAAACTAAAGAAAACACAAAATACTCACAGGACAAGACCAGACAAGAGCAGGCGCGCTCCCTAACGGGGATGGAAGTCAAAATGAAATGACTCACGACACCGAAACGAATGGAAAAACCTAAAAACACAACAAAAAGTTGAAAGAATAAGATGGCGGGCGTTAAAACGCACTGTTAAAACACCTGTGTTCACACTACCTGTTGTGCAGCTCCTCGTGGCCAAACGTGTAGTAGACGTACACAATGTTCCCTGCGAGGAACATCAAGATCCAGAGAGCAACCAGCACGGAACGCTCCGCCTGGCCAATTAAGAGAGAAACGCGCCGATATTTTTGCAACATTACATCACACGTTCTGATATATACACCTCTTTTGGCACAGCTTTAATGTCACCCTCACCCTTAAGGACACTTGGTGCCTCACTGTGGAATTGGCGTAGGCGAATGTGCAGGCCATGCCGGCGCACACGGCAATACCTGCAGGAGAGAAGCGCAACACGGTCACCGACGCGCTCCTCGTGACTCCTGGATGCAAGCACCAGCAGCGCTATGGCTACACATGCTGGCGTACCGAGCTTGTGCTGGAAGCACACTTTGGCCAGCAGAATGAGGATGAAGGGGAAGCCCCTCTGCAGCCACGTCACCACCGCCTTCAACTCGGACAGGGCCGGCGCCGGCGCGGACGGGTCCTCCTGGGCCTCCTCCCTGGGGCCGTGCCTCTCGGAGCCGCCCGCCGCGGTGGCCTGCTGCAGCAGGGAGGAGGTCCTGTTCTGCAGCGGCTGGTGGTGGAAGTGGTGGAGGTTGGAGTTGTTGGGGTGGTGGAGTTGGTGGTGGTGCGGGGGCGGGCGAGGGAGAAAGGGTCCGCCGTCCGTGCGATGGGGGCCGCCTTCTTCTCTGGACGCCGCCGTCATCTGGATGAACACCTCGGGGGGGGAGCCCAGGACTAAGCCGGCGGCCTGGAATTGGGCGGAGGAGACGGAGCCGGAGGGCACGCCCACCAGGCCGGAGAACATCTGCTGGGGCGAGGAGGGCGAGTCGGGCTTCAGGCAGTCGAACACACCACCCTCATCGAGGCTGCTCTCTGATCCCAGAGTTTGGCTTCGGCTCCTGAATGGAAAAATAGATTAAGCCTGAACAAAGGCTCCACGTTCTATTTTACGTAGTAAACTCCTCTCTGAGGTCACAGCCTTAAAATGTTGTCATTAAACATTTGGCCCTGCAGAACCTGAGGGTAATTAGACAACGGAAGGGCTCGTGCTGCTTCCTTGTGAGAGGTGTCCGCCTCACCTTTCAGAGGGCATGCCATCCGTGTTGCTGCTGTGTCTCCTCTGCATGGCACACCGCTCATCACCACATGGTGCAGCCCTGCTAATGACACATCGACAGATTCGGACCGACCAAGAGGCGGACTAGCAGCTCCTTTCTTATTCCGATATTCTGCTCTGGGCGCGTTTCATTCGTGGGGAAGTGAACCGAATAACGTCGCAGGCGACTTTACCTGAATTCATTCGGCGAATTGCCGCGCAGTTGTTGGCATATTTAGTCCGGGTAGCTTCAGATGTCGGGCTAGCAAGGGTTGTTGATGCTGCGCGAGCGCAGTCCTAAAGACTTCCTGCATGACGTCATTGACGTCGCCTATCCCCCAATCAGCGTCCTCCTTCCCAACACACCACATCCGGGTTGGAGACGTCGCCTATGCACCAATCAGCGTCCGCCTTCCCAACACACCACATCCGGGTTGGAGACGTCGCCTATGCACCAATCAGCGTCCGCCTTCCCAACACACCACATCCGGGTTGGAAATTTGTTTTTGCAGATAGCGGATGTCAGACTTCGCTGGACAAACACAACGGTTTCTTCTAGTTACGTGGCGTAACGCTGGACTGCTTTCTTCTAGGGAAACTGCGTATAAGATCTGCGTCATAGTATATTAACATTATTGGTCTCGTCAGCAGGGTGTAGCTTATCTTAAAGGGAAAGCTATTGCTAACGACAGCTAGCTAGCAGGCTAACAAAGCAGGTTTTCACGATGAGAGCCCATTAACCAGCTGCCGTGCCGAGCAGTTCACTGTGTTTCAGCCCTACCAGCGCGTCGTTCACGTCCACAGACATTGTTCATGTTGCGTAACTGACAGCACCTCGGACCTACGACATGGGTTAGCCGGCTGTTGTCTCGCACTTCCCTCGATGTTATTGATCACCCTTGCTGCCAGTTACAGCCGCTTGACGGTCAGTCATCAGAGCCCTTCGTCAGTGTTTGAGGCTCTCGTCGCTACGCAGTCCTGACTGATCGGAGACCCTCCGGAGGTCTGATGTTGCGGACTGTCCCCGTCCACCGAGAGAAAGCCATGCTATGATGATGGTGCTGCGGCGGTTACTGAGGAAGCGCTGGGTGCTGGGAGTCGTCTTCGGACTGTCTCTCATCTACTTTCTCACCAGCACCCTCAAACAGGTATCGGGACTCGCTCTGCACTGGATGGGGGGTTGTTACCTTACGCATGAGATAAGAGGGAGGGACAGGGATGTCCTCATTGAGGACATCAGCTGACAGATTAAGGTGTTCCTGCAGGTTGATGCAAAAATCCTGCAACGCCGACATTGGCGGAAAGGCATCCTTTTTAATTAGAAATGTTGCCCCTCTATGTCTCAATACATGCGATATCCTCAAAGGAAGGGGACTGCAAAATCAATCTTTGGCATTCATTGTAGTTGGTACACAAGGACAATAAACCTACTTATACTTGTTTGTCCGATCAATCAACCAGAACCCAAAATATATTCAGCCTTCTGATACAGATAACCATAAAACTGCATATTAAAAGTAGTTTAAAAACAGGGGCTAGTGATTTCTCTGAACAATCTGTTAAAAGACTGCGCCGTCTGTGCAGGAGGAGCGGACCATACGGGACCGCACTCTCCTAGAGGTCAGAGATTCGGACCATCGCATCCCGTGGAAAGTCCGCTTCACCCTGGGCAACAGCAGCCGGCAGATGACGCAGTGCAGGAACTCCATCCAGGGCAAGACGCTGCTCACGGACGAACTCGGTGAGTCGCAACTCGCCACCGAACACCGCCATGGCGGTTTACTTTTTGTACCCTCTAATCAACGTGTGTTCCCCTCCCCGTCGCTGTTCCGCAGGTTACGTCTGCGAGAGGAAAGACTTGCTGGTCAACGGCTGCTGTAACGTCAACGCTCCCAGCTCCAGGCAGTACATCTGTAAGAGTTGCCTGGCCAACGGCTGCTGCAGCATCTACGAGTGCTGCGTGTCTTGCTGCCTGCAGCCCGATAAGGTGATCCGTTTGCATTGGGCGTGTTCTGGGCCTTCGCCGTGGCTCCAGGTCAAACATAGTGACCCGCAGCGGAAGGAAGATCAGATTGAACGGATTGAAAACGTACACATGCTCACACGCTTATCTGTGAACTCCTCCTCAGCAACTTCTCCTCGAGCGCTTCCTCAATCGAGCGGCGGAAGGTTTCCAGAACCTCTTCACCGCCGTGGAGGATCATTTTGAGCTGTGCCTGGCCAAGTGTAGGACGTCTTCACAGGTAAGGGTTGGAAAGAAAAGGAAAATGTTAAACTCTGACTTGACAACTCAAGTTAGTATTTCACTTCACTTCTTATATTAATTTGTGTAATTTTTGGACTGTCACAGTTAAATAGAAGATAAACACTTTGATGAATGTTTCTCCATTAGTCAGTCTACTCAATAACTTTGCAACAACCAATTTGAGTTCTTTGAATACTGTTAAATTTATTCACATTCATTCGGCCCTGGCTTTGATCTTTACTCACCACAATATTAAAAGGAAAAAATGCTTGATTTTATCTATCGTTTCTTCCGTCTTACGCAGAGTGTTCAACATGAGAACACCTACCGAAACCCTCAAGCAAAGTACTGCTACGGAGAGAGTCCCCCAGAGCTCCTTCCCGTCTGAGCATCGGACTTTCCTCCCGGGTTAAACGGTGGCGGCTCAAGAGGAGCGACGCGGCGTCGGACCCCTCGAGGTGCTCGGAGAGGAGACAATGGACGAAAGCTGTATTTCATTTGATTACTTACACTTCATAAGTGCATAGAACGCTTCATACGTTCATCCGTGATGATCACCGGGACGAGGAGGCTCTTCCATCAGGATTTGCCTCAAACTGGTTCATGTCATGAAATAGGCTTCATTTCATAATATGCGTTATAATACAGCTGTTTTGTTATTAAAATACAAAGTACAGCAAAGACTGTGTCATTACTTTTGTGTGTAGTGCATGCATATGAACGTATTTAATAAAAGTGACAGTGAAGTTAAATGGTGCTATTTTAAATTTGTCTGATCGTACTTTTACATTTTCTAATATAAGCTGTTGGCTTCTGGTGCAAAGAACATTTTGACATTGGCCTATGAATTTAGTTTATGTAAAATAAAGAGGTCAAATGCTAAACATTTAAAGCCATCAGAGGTCTAAAGCAAATCATGAATTTTAAAATGTGTTGAGAAAGGTCATGGGTTCAATGTGCAAGAGAAAGAAGCAGCACGCAAACCTCCAAATGTTTTGTTGTATTGAGTGCAAGTCAAGGGTCAAACAAACAAAACACCAGAACTTAAATGTATTTATTCTGTGCTCGACTAACCATGTTTCATCTCTATTATAGATGTTTTTTTCCCACAATAAATTAAAAGACCTTTTATCCGGGTTTTGTTTTCTTTAATGTCCTTGAGAATAATAAATATGAGCTGGTATTCTCTTTATTTGACAGTGCTGAACGAGTATGTTCAATCATTGAAATCTAGTTTTCTCTGCTACGTAGAATATTCGGAACTTTGCTGCTCTTCAAAACCCTGCAGACTCGTTTGAAGCCCGTTCAGAGCCACAAGACATCAGATTTTGTAATTGAATATTAAATGATTCCTTCATTTGTCGAGGACGGGGCTCACATTAATCTTGGTTACAGTGTTTTTGCTTTGACAGATCTTATTGGCTGTCCATCTGTGCACAAACCTCGACACAGTGATTGGAGTGCAAACCGGTGGCTCCGTGTAGGTGATTCCTATCAGCCTCTCTACCTCAGGCAACGTGTGGCGCGCTCACCAGGGATGGGCGGCCGCACCGCAACAATTAATCATTGTGAAGGCCGAGAAAACAAACTGTCGTAATTAGGAAATGTAATAGAGCCCCTTTTAATTTGCCTCTTTGGCAAGTTGATTAATGACGGTCACATGGGAAGGATGTCGGTCGGCGAACGAAGCCATTTGTTATGTAGCTTTGTAAAAGAATAGTTTGAAATGTGCCCCCCCCCCCCTCTCCCCTCGTTGAGTTTGATGTTAACGTTGAAAGCGACCTCCACTGATCTCTGTATTCAACTTTCCAAAATGGAATAATAATGCTAGAAATAGTGGAAAATTGTTCTGCAGTAATATTTGATCTCCTTAAAAGGTGCACTGTGTAGGTTTTGGCGGTATTTAGTGGTGAGGTTTCAGATGAGAACCAACGGAAACTCCCCCCCCCCAAATACAGTGGCTGACGGAAAAAATAAAAAATGTCACTTGAGGAAAATTGCATTAAATTAAGTTTATTTAAAAGTATGAAAATAGAGCAGTAAGTACCACAAGTATTACAAATGCGCCTAAATCCCATTACTTAAAAAAAAAAAAGCTGCCATGAACTGTGACCTTGCTTCACTACAAACTGATCACAAGAGGTATCCACTGGCCTCAGAGTCCTCCTGAAGCGTTGCCTCGAACGTTTCACTCAAGATCAAAGGGAAGAAGAGGATGAGCAAGGTGATAATCTTACCCATCCTCTTCTTCCCTTTGATCTTGAGCATTTCTACCACACATTTACGCTCCAGCCAGTCCAGATAGACCCTGGCTGTGCTCAGCAGAGTGTGGCTCCACTGCTTCTTGGCGAACGCGTTGCCGGGCATGGTGGGTGGGAGGGGCTTCTGGGAGCATTGCGCTCCGAGGTCGAGCGCCATGCACGCTGCCAGCCGGGTGACCGAGGAGACGGCCTTGGCGAGCTCCTCGTGAAGCGAAGTGTCTTTGGGGTTGAGGTCGTTCCTCTGGTCGTCCAACACTTCCTGCAGGCCTTGAGCCATGAAGAGGAGGCTGCACAGGACCCGTGAGCCGTCCAGGGGGGCGTCCAGCGGGACCTCGAGCTGGGGGAAGCCGGGGTGCCAGGTGCCCAGGTGCTCCCCGTTGGCTTTGTCCTGGGAGAGGAGACCAAAAGTGAAGCTTCACCTCGACCGCGACATGAGATGGAAACTCTCAATCTGTCAAACTGATCTAAACGCCACACACTCAGGAAACGCGTCTGCAGATTTAGAAAAAGGGAAGTTTACGAATAGGCAGCATTCGTCCTATTGGTGCATGTTGATGTCCTCAACAAGAGACAAATGATGGAGAGAGATCACAGTGTTAACACAGGCAAACAGTGACGAAGACGCACCGAGGCATTTAAAATGACTACTCATGATTCTGCTGCATGAAATACATGTCAGACACTCACAAATGAGTTAGCTACGTACGTCACATTTACTCCAAGAAAGTAACTCCTTACAGGTACTCAGTACTGCATGAAGTACAGTTTTAATATTTGTACTGTGCTCCAACTCACATGTATCTTCATATAAAGATGTGCATCTTTATTGCATCTAAAGTCACGTAATTAATCACCCACATAATTTACATCACCCACTGCAACAGAAGCCGCTGCTACGCTGCACTATGTTGTTAAAGTGTTTCACTTTGTGAACTGTTAGGATAACTATATTTTAATTTATGCAAAATATTCATAGATGGTGATATCGTTGCTTCTTATAGGTACTTTTAGGTACTTGTTCCCACCACCTGCAGCTCTGCTTCCATTTTCATCTCTCAATTTTTCTATTTCAAGTATTTAACAAACTGAATCATAACTCAGCGACCTACACAAAACAGACCTTTAGGTACTTCTGGGGGTTTTAGTTCTGATGTTTTAATGTTGCTTTGTTCTGTTCAAATGGCTCCCTGTTGTGTTGGACACTCGTGACACACCGGTGCAACGGTACTTACAAAACCTTTCAAGCTTCCTGCCACCAGACTTCTGGTGACGGCCATCAGCCGGCTGCATGAAGCTCCGGTGGCGGACGTCTGCATCGTAGGTCCTGCATCCGAGCTCTGGATCAGCATCCAGATGAACTCCACAGTCAGGAATCCTGCAAATACAAGTGGGCACCATTTCAAATGCTTCCCCTCCCTCGTTGATTGATGAATGGAGGATGAAAGATCATACGACGCGTACTGTACCTGCTCCGCATTTCATTCTGACAAGTCTTTGAGAAAGATTGATTCACACGGCGACGTTGATCGTTTTGTTATACTCGCATGCCTCTGGAAGGAGGGGCGTGAAGGCAGTAGAGAAGATAAAATTCCCCCCATCTCTATCAAAGCCATATCCTTTGAGGTAAAGCAGGCCAACCACTTTTTGTCACTTCCACTTCAGGAAATGCTGCAGATCACTGATGGAGAAGATTGAATAATGAACCATTCGGGTTAGACCAAACTTGTGTCATTGCACAATTCACAAAATGAATATACTTTTATATGGAAAAAAAAAACATTCATAAAAAGTAATATTGATACCTTTTTTTTTTACCTAGCGACTAATCAGATGAAATGTCATTTAAGTCGATAATGCTAGAGGTTTGGTTTGTTTATAGAGAAGACACAGGTTATGTTATCACTGGCTTTTCTTCACCTTGCAAGCTATTACTCATCATTTCCAGTTCCACGGGAATAACAGCGTTTACATGCGTCAGCAGATGTTTTTGTGGCGACATATTTATGTCACGTCTGACTCAAGGCCTCCTGCAGGGGCGACAATAATCAAACACCAATATCCTTTCTTGGTAACCCGGCTCAGACCACTTCAACAACTACGTGTCAAACCCTTTTTTTTTTTGCTTGATATCTGGTGGGAGTAAACAAAGCTCATACAGAATAATTCCGTTGTCAGTATCTGTTGCATTTTTTCCCCTTTAAGAATTGAACAATAAGTATCAATTTTCAATGTTTTATTGAATGAAGAACACAAAAATTACAAATGTTTAAAAGAATACTTTTAGCGGGGGTTACATTTGTAAATTGTACAAAAAGTTGTACCAAAGGAAACATCTGGGGGAGATTAGCTAAATCAAAAAGTGTATTGTGCAAATAACAAGAAATAAGACATAGTGTTACTGACTTTGGGTAATACTACGATTAAGAAATGCTGACCTCTTAAAAAAAAAAGCACCGACTAAACCGACTGTCCCGCTTAACAGAATTTGTAGTAGTTTTAATATATAACAACTACCTGCACATTCCTTTTAAACCGAACCGGTTGTCAAAAAAATTGAAATTCTCAGTTATCCTGGAAGACAAAAGATGTCTGGGGGGGGCCCCCTGAGTGCATTCGGCCATGCGATAGGTGCGACGGGAGGCCTCGCGGACAAACGGTGTGTGCACGCCGCGGAGAAGCGCTTCTGGTGTTCATGGCAGGTTCGTAGTAGTTAATACCGCAGGCGATGCAGTGTGCTGGCCTAGGCACGGGGTTAGCCTCTCGCCCTGCTGGCCGCTCGCCCCGTGAGGGGGCGGCACAATTGAGCCGGTCGTCATCCAGCTCAGGCCGCACTTCAGGAATCAACTGGCGGCGGGTTCTTTCCTCTGATGCTGGAGCATCTCGGTCACGCTCACTATGTCCTCCTCGGGGACCTGGAGAACAGCGAAGAGCACAGAATCACTTGTTGTTGTTACAGTGAACACATGAGCATGTCACACAACACAGATCCACCAGACTTTGTTGCAAAATGTTTAGGCTTTAAAAAACTAGGAGCTGTAAAGTTTCTACCCACCAGCATGAGTTTCAAGTACAAGACATAAATGCAGAGCTGGGTGCCGTCTGCACAACAATGAAAAGAAAAAAAGAAAAAGCAATGGACCCATAATGGAGCCTAGTGCGACTCCATGTGACATATTGAGGATAAAATGATCATGATTGTTTTAGTAATGACATGTTCTAGGGAAGCAGTTAATGTTAAAATGAGTTGAGGACACCTCCTATCACTACGGCTACTTGATCAAGATAAAAGAAGAGTAATGCTAAGACTAAAGATGACACCATAACAGGCAGCAAAAGGCACTTCAAAAGTACATTTCATCGTTTCCTCAAACGTGCGTCCGCTGTGATCTGAAGCAGGAATCTCATGCCGCGGGCAATCGTCATGATTAAAACACAAATAAGCAATGCCGGTAAACCAAACATATTCCTGCACTTTGTCAGTCTACATCTCCCAGATTGGGAAACAACAGCCAAACCGTATAATAACTGGAGGTCAGAGTAAGTATCGTTGTGTCACGATGACAGCGATGGTGGTGGCCTGACTGGCGACCTGAAGGACTCACCAAAGCATGGTCGAAGCTGAAGGTGCTTATGTAATAGGCAGAGATGTCGCTGTCAGCCAACGGCTGAGATATCTGGGCAACAATTCCACATTCATCTAAAAGCAGAGAGAGAATGGAGGAGAAAAACACAGATGTTAGTGTCACATAATGAGCTATCGAGCCAAATGTAAGATTGCATGATATCATAACCATTTAATGACAAAGATTCCATTACGTCATTTTGTCATGTGGATAGAAATAACTTCTGACTGTAATTAAAATAAAGGTTAATGATAGTAAGACAATATAACTGGTACCACTGGAAGTCCCATTCATATGCTTTCAACTTACACAATAATAGTTTTATTAACAGATAAACACATTACATTTAAAATGTGACTGACTTTTTGCAGAGGAAAGCAGCACACTTTCAGGTACTTGAAAGAAAGTCTCACCAAAGCCCAGCGGCTGTCCCCCAATACGAACCATTCTCCACAGCTCCCCGGACGAGCTTGTGAAGAGAAGATCAGCAGGAAACCTGAAGCACAAAGAACAAGAAAAAGCAACCAGGCGCCAACAAGACACAAGAACCATTCAGAGACGGGCGGTGGAATAACCATCGCCAGATAAAAGCTTGCAAACACAGCCGCTGAAACACCCACACGGGGTCCGTAATAAGGCCTGCATTTGAGTTTTTAATCATGACAAGAGTGCCGAGCTTTAGTGCTGCACAATTCATTTGCATTTTAATCAAAGTTGATATACGGTTTGCTGCAAATTGTGTGAGTGAGCTACTGAGAATCCTCACTGTCTCTGAGCCTCAGTGTCCATCACCAGAGAGATGTAGCCGTCGATGAGGGAGAAGGAGAAGAACTTGATGCGGCTGGGAGACGACTGTGCATCCTCCTCAGGGCTGCAAAGGAGAAGAGACGGAGACCTTTCAGCATTCATGTGAAAAACGCTGATCTACACAAGTCACATAATAGAACAAAGACAACAGACGTGTAATAGTAACCCGAGTGACATGTCATGTTTACTGTGAAGAGGCAGGGAGCAGGAGGCTCGTCTGGATCAGGTGCTGCCACCTGGTGCGTTTACAGAGGTACTGCGGCGGTGTGGGTCGGGTCGAGCGTCTCACCCGTTGGAATAGAAGAGGACGTCGATCAGGGTGGTGGCGATGGACGGCAGCGTGTCCGGGTCCAGAGACATCACACAGAACTGGTTCTGCGGGATCAGCACCGGGTGAACCGTCGGCTGGGTGGCTGAAGGAGCAAAGACGGCGTTTGTGTGGAAGAACAGCTGATACAAGCATTAATAACGCATTGCATATTCTAGATGTCTTATAGGAATTCAAAAAAGACATTTCTATGACGGTAGACTGTAGCGATCTCTCGCTCTTACACTTGCATCACTGGATCTCAACCAAATAATCAGTTACAGATCTTTAGTTCTAAGAAGTGTTGTTTTTTTAAATATCTATTGTCATCTATTAGCTAAGTTACTAGTTTCTTTTCTCGCATCCCTCTCTAATACCTTCTGTCAAGATTTCCCAATCCCATTAAAAATCTTCTTGTAGTGAAACTAAAGCTCCATTTCCATCACTGTGTGCCAATCTGCAGAAAAACAGCAAAGCTGGAAAAAGGGTGTTTTGGTCAATAATGTTGACCTGATTCTTAGAGGTATATGAAATATTGTGAAAGCAAATGTCACAGCATGTTGCACAAATAACAAAAAAAACTGTTCCCACTTCAATTGAAGTTATTCACTATTCCTTTAACAGCTTTATTTTCTATTTTAACATTTTTTAAATACAACACTGCCGTCCAACACGCTGCAGATATGCATTTAATACCGCGTGTAAAATATGTTCATTAAGCAAAATTATGTTTAGACCGTCCAGAATTCCCTAAACTATAAGTCTATTTTCTTCTACTCATTCAGTTATAAACTCTTTTATTTCTGGTCAAACGGCTCAACGTTCCACATCTTTACACCTCAGAACCCAAGGAGGGTGGCGGCGGCGGAGGAATCTTAGCCCCGCCCTCTGGGAGGAGCTCTACCTTCTTTGCCGTTCTTCTGGAGGCCGTTGGACACGTCCTGACAGAGCACGGGGACGGACTCTCCTGCCACCTCCCTGTAGATGTTGAACTCCTCCTCCAGGGTGCCGATGACCACGGACAGGTCTTTCTCCCTCACCTGCACGCCGCGGAGGGCAGAACGTTAACGACGGCGGGGTCAAACCGGCACAACAACGGGGGGGGGTCGGGCCGCGTCATGCCGTTCTACAAAGGAAACACCGGAGCTCGTTAACCATTCATTTATTCGCTGACACAAACGCCTGTTGGGCAGTTATCTATTTTTTTTTGCCTACTTGACACTTTCACATGTTGTACGGAGCGGGTTTTTTTTTTTAGCCCAGTCAGCTCGGGAGGAGAACGGGTTCATTGTGGGTTTAGAGGCCCGATGTTTGTACTCCATTTAGAGATCCGGAGCAATTGCTCCCCGGCGGGAAGAGCCCCGAAGGAAACGGGACTCGCCAGGATGAAGTCGGTCTGATAAGTGGAGAGCATGAAGACCGAGACGTGCTGCTGGGCCAGCGGGGCGATGACCGACTTGGCGATCTTGGTCACGCCGACCGCCTGCGAGCTGCTGGAGGCGTTGCCGTTGGAGACCACGTTGAGCGGCAGCCAGACGGAGCTCTCGACGTTGAGATGCTCGGAGGGCTGGAGCTCTGCGCCGGGGTCGAGGGGAGACAAACGAAAAAGGGTCTCGTTAGCGGTGGTTTGCAACTTAAAAACACGGATCAACTTTGATTTCAAACATACGGGTTCAAATGGAATAAAAAGGTCAGGCTATCGTGACCTTTGCGCCACAATTTCTTTGAAAACATCTGAAAATATTTCTGTATTTAGATCTGATCAAGACAACAGACCTTTAAAGGAGCCAGAAATGCACTTTCATCAATGTTATAGTACAATATAAAGGCTCTTATCTACAGCAGGTTGTAAATCGACTTATTTGATGAAATTGCACTTTATTTGTTTGTTGTTGTTCTTCTTGGGTTCGTGTCCTTATGGTTGGAATGCACCTATTCAGCTACATGATAGCGTGATATATTTTAATATTCCGGGGATGTGTGTGTGTGTGTGTGTGTGGGGGGGGGTGATGCATCACTATCTGCATGGCAGCTTTAACAAACAGCTTCCTCTCAACGGGTGCTCAGTGTAAAACACACACACACACACACACACTCACACTCACTCACCCACCCTCTCCACCACCTCCTGGTTCACTATGGAGACCTAAAGTTATTGCCTGCTATTCATAGCGCACAGTGACAACTTAAACCAAAGCGCGCCCGCGCGCGTGTGTGTGTGTGTGTGTGTGTGTGTGTGTGTGTGTGTGTGTGTGTGTGTGTATCCTGATACGATTAATTAATTAGCTGGACGCGGCCGGTCCTGGCGGCTGGTAAGGTAAGTGTCAAAGTTGGTACGGATCCAGGAGGCGAAAGAGAGGGCGAGCTAGAGATAACCGGGTCGCCCACTCGGGCGAATGTGCTCCTTTTAGGCGGGTTACTTTGTTTATAGTGTCAAAACACCATTAAAAATATTACCGATCGCTTTCTACCACCCGCAGCGAATTCCATCTTTTTTTCTTCCTTGCACTCCTTCAAAACAGAGCCGGTGTTCTGGTTTCGCATAATCTGTCCCAGACGGCCCCTCGTGGCTCCGCTGCTCCAGCGTCCACCTCCTAAAATAGCCTCTCGCTTAGAAGGAGAGCAGAGGAGACGCAGGGAAACGGAGCAGCCGGAGGCGACGCACAGCTTTAACCGCTCCGCCCGCGTGGAGCGATGGGAGCAGCTGGATGGAGAGGGGGACGGGACGGGACCGGGACACGCGGTCTCACGGTGAATTATGCGGTGGACTCGGTCCCCAGAGGGCGGTCAGACAGGTCAGCTGTCAGAACTTGTATGACACCCCCCTCTCTATTAGTGATTGCAATCAATAAAACATTTTTATGAACCTGCTCTTTACAGAACATGATGAGACACGACGTCTTGGACGAGATGTCCCTCCGGTCCCCACCCACAGGGTGGAGGCATTAGGGTGGTGCTCAGTACCTTTGAACCCTTCCTCGTCGAGGACCACGGTGTAGTTCTCCGGCGTCTCCGTCAGACTGAAGAACTTGCATCTGAAAAAAAAAATGGGAGAGGAGGCGCGTGAAAGGTGGGAGACACTGAGAGGAGAAGAGAGGGAGGTCGAGTGGGGGGGGGGGGACGTTCAGATTGTCACGAGAGTCACCGGGAAAACAAAACAAATCGCTTTTAAATTCACACAGGGCTTCGGGACCGGCCGTTCGGGAGCCGGGAGCCAGTGCTGTGACGGCGCCGCTCCTTTGTCCGCCGAGGGCCCGTCCACGGGAGTGTGTACATGCGTCAGCGGGGGGGACAATCGTCCTTTGGGAGGAAAGAGGTGCCCCCCCCCCCCCCCCCACAAGGCCGAGCCTTCAAGTTCCCAGATGACAATGAGCTGTGCTTTCTCCATCTACGGTCTGCTCATGTGCCTGTTCGGCGGGCTCGGGGCCAAAAGCGCTCAAAGGGCCGGCGCTCGGCCCGGGCCGCCGCGCTGGGTTCTATTCAATGTCGCCTTTGTGGGGAACAAAAAGTGGAGAAAAAAAAAAAAAAAAGTTAAAAGAGGCCCGTGGGATTTGGTACGAAGTGAGGAAACAGCACACAAACACACTTCCAGTCGACTACACTTCATGTTAGATTTTTGAATGGGAGAAATTCGGCAACAACACGGAGGTCTGAACATTCAATTTGCCTCTTTCCGGGCTCAGAGTTACAGCGCCGTAGTTCTAGTGTCATCAAATGGTCCATCAGCCATTCCTACTTCTATAATGAACACTACCACCTAATAAACAGTGCATGCATTCATCTTTGGTAGAGAGGAGATCTAAAGCGCCTCACTGGAGATACACGCCCCCCCCCCCTCCTCTGCTTATCAGTCGGCTGAGGCCATCGCGAGCGAGACCGCGGCGCTCCTGACTCAGCATAAAGTAATCCCTGCCAGGAGATGGGACAATCGGGCCGCAGCGGGACAAAGAGAGAGAACACCAACACTAACAAACAGCTGTGCTGGCGAGCTCAGCCAGCCCATTGTATTAGAATACAACCCCCCCCCCTCATTTCCTGCTGACCCCTCGCCTTCCTCAGCTGGCGGTTTCCTGCAGGTAGAGCGTGCCAAGCGTCGAGTGAGCCCAGTGGGACGGATCGAGGGTGGGTGGCGTGGGGGGAGGGGGTTGAGGCATGCTGCTCTGGAGAAGACGGGCCCGGGGCTCTAGCGTTACACCTGAGGGGAAGCCTGAGACGGGCCCCCGCGCTGTGGTTTCCTGTTTGTGAAGTACAGATAAGGACGATGATTTAAAAGAAAGACAAAAAGGGGCCTCTCCTATCTCCGAGGAGAACGCCCCGGAACCACAACTTCCTATAAAAGAAGCATGAGCGGAGGCTCCGCCCTCACCTCCACACCAACGTATGAAGACAGGAGCCCAAAAGGTGCAAAGTACCGGTTTGTGACCGGAAGGCCGAGGGGAAAGCAGGTCGTCATGGAGATGCATTTAAACATTGGGATTATTACAGTGCATTACTCAGCCCCCCCCCCCCCCCCCCTTTGGAAAACGAGGAAAGGGACCAATGTACTTTTTTGATCATGTAACCACATTGTCTCCATTGTTTGATTTCGGAGGGTTGACCTCAGTAACAGTGACACACAGCTCATGTGTGTGTGTGTGTGTGTGTGTGTGTGTGTGTGTGTGTGTGTGTGTGTGTGTGTGTGTGTGTGTGTGATCTCCAACGGCAACCAGTTCCAAAAACAAACTTCTTCTGCTCTGAAGCTGGAAGGCGACATAAAAGGAGGAGGAGGGAAACGACCAAGCAACAGGTGGCGACGGGAAGATGAAGACCACACAAGAGCCTGGACTTTGATGCAGGCCGAGGGAGCGAGGGACCGAGGGAGCGAGGGAGCAGGCGGCGTCCTGCAGCTGAGGAAACACGATAAGAGCGGTCGCGAGCTGTCCGCTGTCTTCGCAGGTCCCCCACGAAGACCGATGGGCGGCGTTCTCACGGCCTCCTCTTTTCTCAGAACAAAAGGGGGGAGGGTCGGGGGGGACAGATGGGGGGGGTACTGAAAATCCCTGCGAGTTATGGAGAGCAGAGGAGGCCGCTTTGTGTACCAACGAGGGGAGCCGGAGCCCCAACCTTGACAGACCACTGAAGCAGACAAGTGGAACACAACCCCCCCCCCCCCCTCCGTGCTTTAGCCCAGCAGAGCCATTATTAGTGAGAAATGCCGAAAACAAAAAAGGAGGACTCTGTGGAGCTGCATCCACAGGACAGTAAGAGCATTATCTTGGTCCTGAACTGGGCTTTGATTATCACCACGCACACACGCGACCACTAACCAACAGCAGACCTGGACCTAAAATCACATCACAATCCTCGAACCGGCGCCCTGCCGATGACTCGCGGTCGCTCTGCGATTAAAACGAGGCCGACCTTCAGGGATTAACGGCGCAGCTGATGGAGGGACCCTAACCCCCTCACAGACGACCCGTCGCGCTCTGAACCACGCGGGGGCACAAAACCCACCGGCCTCTGAGCGCCGGCCTCCTTGAAATTCAGCTGAGGAGCGCTTTTGAGCGCATTCTCCGGGAGCTGTTCTCTCTCCTGAGTAGCGGGGGGCCCCGTAGGAGGGGGATGCCGAAAAAACAAACAACAACAACAGAGGCAATCGGGCTTGTTTGTGCTCCATTGTATTAAGAGCTGCTACGAGTTCAATCTCCAGCCCAGTGTGCATCGTCTATAGTCAGAGGGTTGGGGCAGGGGGGTGGGGGGCAAAAAAAATAACAGGACAAACCAGCCAGTTATGACATAACTCCAAAGCATGCACAACAACACTGGAAAACAGGAAGGCACGTCCAAAGAAAGGGCACCATGCATGCACATTTTTCCTTTTTCTGGTTCATTCTGGCTCCAGCCGCCCCCCCCACCACCACCGAAAAAACAACAGATAGTGCTGGCCCGTACCTGGGTACTAACTCAACCACAGTTGTATCCACTCAGCAGCCTGGCACTGAGACTGAGACAAATGACACATTTTGTGGGTTGCAGACAGGTGTGAACGGACGTGACGCGTCCTGCAGGCCGTGACGCGTCCTGCAGGACGTGACGCGGCCTGCAGGACGTGACGCGGCCTGCAGGACGTGACGCGGCCTGCAGGCCCGGGCTCTAAATCTCGCTCCTCTGGGTCACTTGTGAAGGCAAGTGGTCATGGGGATCATGATTGACAGCAGCCTGGTAAACAAGCTCGCTAAAAAGGAGGGGCTGTTGTGATGCAGCGGCTCACGGGATTCGAGTTATCGGACGGCCTCAGAGGAGGAACAAGACGTTTGCCTCAGGGCAGCGCCCGAGTCCGACGGACGCCCGGGCAGCTCCGAGACAGATGTTGAGCGCTTTCTTCCAGCCGTGCATATGTGGGGCAGCAAGAGCTAGAAACAATTACATAACAAAAGGGAGGATAACCAGGCATCAGCTTAAAACCGGTACTAATGCCAACATGAGAGCAGGACAATTTGCAAACTAGATGCTGGATACTAAAAGGTCAAAGGTCAAGTTGGAGGAACCAGGGGTCCTCTGAAATTAGTGGAAGGGTTCTTTTTTTTTTTTTTTTGATGTTTGATTCATGCTGGTACTATTCTTTGTAGAAGCAGAAGCAGACAATTCACTGTGGCAATTAAACTGGTTTTGTCATTTAATTAATACATGACGAAGGAAACACAAAGGAATCCAATAACACCTCCAAATGTAAAACAAAAAATCCTAAATACTGTTATATTTTATTTCCCAAAGGTAAAAATATATGTGCCCGAACTCCTGCTGAACCCCACCAGCTCCACGCACCGCGGGGGATCCTGGGAGCAGCGGGCATGCACGGACTGATTCCCCGAGCAATGGCTGGACGAGACGCGGGTGGAGGGATAAGGATTACCGGCGCGACGCAAACACCTCACCCCTCTCCCCTCCCCTCCCCCGGGCCGGTGGTGCTTTTCTTACCGCGTGCGGTTCCGGAGGAATATCAGTTTAATCAGCGGGTGCGTGAAGTTCACCAGCCCCTTCTTGGATATGCTGAGGACCCGCAGCCTGTGGTCCAGTATGTGCAGGTCCATGTCGTCGGGTGGTGTCCGGCGGCGGCGGCGGCGGCGGGGTGCGCTCGGCTCGGGTGGAGGACGCCTTCCCGGCTGCGAGGTATCATTTAAAGGTGAAAACACGGGGCCCGGACGATGCAAACGACGCCTCCCGCTGCGCTCGTCTCACAAGGCGAAAAAAACATCCGACGCAATCTGACTCTCAACTACTGTATATTCAAGTAACGGGACACGCCCCCTTCTCTTAAAGCTACAGCGCGTCATTTCGCTTTAGCACTTTTTCCTTCTTTGTACGGACGAGACAAACTGTATGGAAAGGTTGATTTTAGTGTTGAGCGCGCACCTTTTTGTTAACCTGCTTATGCGTGTTTATGCTAAGCTAAGCTAACCTGTACCTTTATATGCAAGTACAGAACAGAGCAATGCAGATCTGTTCCTTTTACTCTGGGTAGGAATGTGAATTAGAACATCTCCCGATTAAATTACTATCACAGCATAGTCTTAATATCATTAACCATTATTACATTTTGTTCGGCTTTGATTCTATTACGTTTTTCTCTTAGGCACATGATTTATCGTTGCTTCTGGAAATGACAAATGACAAAACAGTTGTGTGTTAGTCAATTTATAATTTCAAAATATTGACCACCTCACGCCAGAAGTTACACAAAGCTTTTTACATTATCATTTCTGCGGGTTTGAATGAGTGAAAAGGTCAGCTATTTCAAACGCGTTAGTCCTGCCAGGTTGTGGTTGATCATGTGTTTCGCCGTCACGGCTGTGAAGCGTCAGCGTGATCTCATTCCCTGTGATTCATGTCCAGTCATAAAAAGCTGGGAGGAGACTCTTCATTCATTGTGAAAAATAAATACCCGGGTTCTTTACCATAACTCAGGATGAAAACAAAAAGCAGGAAACGTACCGCACAGCACTACACAATCATGTCATTTTCAATCTAGAGCGTTATTTAATTTTGCCAGTTCATCATGGGTCAAATCAAGTTGTTATGTATGCACACAAATACTGTATGGCTGCCTTGCATGGGCCGCTGTGCAAGAGGAGAATCACAAAATAAAGGGTTTTTGTTTACATCCTTGCATATCAGGCGGATTACCCAGCAGATTAACACAAAAAAATGAAACTACATGTTGCTGTGGCAGTCGGTGATTCGTTTTTTCTCAGAGCGATGTTCTCAGCGTTGGTCGTCTTCTTACTGTAAAGGGGAAGTCTTGGTGGGAATCATTATTCTAGACTCCATGCTTCTGATCAGAGGCACTGAGGACAGACAGAGAAACGGCACGGTTTAAGAGTTTAAATGAAAATATATGGAATTAAATGTCATTTAAGTTTCAAACGGCAGACACAGACAGAAGTGTAGATTTATGATCACTGGAATTTATGTCATTTTGCTTTTATGTCACTGAAACCATAAAATGTAAAACTTAGCCATTGTTTTACCCCGTCGAGTCTGAGCTAATACTCCAACTCACATTGTAAATATGACGTCAGTGAAGACGTTATGCACTGATCTCCGCTGTTACTCTTTGATAATCCACACAACTTTATATTCCAACAGTTTTTTAACCGTCAAAAAAACATCGCTATATGTGTTTTTTTTGGGAGTACGTGCGGTTGCTTTGCATCCCGCCTACCTGTATAATACACATTTGCATCCCACCCCTCCTTCAGCCAGGCAGAGTTCCTGGTCTCCTCCCGGGACAGCAGGCTTCCATAAGCTGCAAACACATTAAGCAAAACCTCATTTCATACCGACATTTCAATAAACTCACGCCCTCCTCGTGCAAAACATTTAGCTATAATATTGTTAACAGATTGGTATCTGGCCAACTGTTGCTGCAGCAGCGCGAGTAACCCGCCGCCGTTTCCTGAGAGGCAGCAACGCTTCCCCAAAAATCAGACACACGTCGTCTCGGAGGCCGCGACACACTCACCCCACAAATGATGAACAACGTAGAGGTCGCCGATCTGTGAGAAGAACCCGCCCACGGCCTCGTTGTTTTCCTGTCTGTACTTGATTGCCCTCGCCCTGTTTGTAGGAGCAAAGACGATTTGTTTCACCGGACACCCGGTAACACTTTACGGTTGGACATTTGAAGCAGATTAATGCTGTTGAGCGTTACCAGTGGTTTCCCCATTCAATCATTGTCCCCGGCTGAAACACAGGAGGAGGTCAAACATTAACACGGCTTCACACCATGAGCCCTTCACACGGGACGCCTATTTGACGCGTGCACGCAAAGCCTGATCGAGCGACATGAACCGGCACAGGATTGTCTTATTCAGCGTGCTCGGATCAAAGCAGGAAGAACAGATTGAAAACGTCGGACCTCTTTATGGAGGTTGTGCAGCCTTTGGAGGGGCGGAACACAACAGCCGACCTCTCGTCATCAACGTGCGCTGCTGTGTCTTGTTTATTTAACATATTGCAGGCAAAATGCCTCCTTTCAGTAGCTGATCCAAACGCTGAACTATGCCTCAATAATAAAAAAATATGAGGGGAGAATTAATTTACTTCTGCAAGATAACAGGCAGCTCAAAAGTCTGCAAACACATAACTTCTTAAGATGATTTTCTTAATGCACGGTTAATACACATCTAGATTTTTTCTTTTAATACTTGTCCGTTTCCCCAAAACGCAATAAAAAGTAGGATTACTTAATGCATCATTTAAATATCAACATACAATTTCTCAAAAGATATTTAATAAATACTGTACAGGGGGAAGGTTTTTACAGATGCATTATTGATGTGTTTTTTTATGGCTATCGGCATTTTTTCAGATATATTCATTACCTAAGAGCTGTTCAAAATAACTAAAACCTTTTGATAATTATGACATGGCTGAATAAAAACAATCCTTCTACTCGGAAAGATACAAATTTGTATTATCAAAATTAAGAGATCTAAGAAAACATAATTTAAAAACCCCTTAAAGTTTAATCATTCTGATTGCGAGGCCTTCGACTTGTACATGTTATACAACTGAGGGAACAGACTGACTGTGAAAAGCTTCTTGCAACTGAAAACAAGATGAGGGGAGCGATATTCGGTGTCCCGCATGATGCATTGTAACGCGTGTAAAATATGTGGATACCTTGAGTTTATAGGTTCGCATCTCATAGACGTTCGGTCCTGTTCTCGGCACCGGTTCATTCCAGAAACTGAACTCCAGGAGGAGCTGATTTCTCCTGGACACCAACATTTTAGCCCTCTCTTTCCGGAACTCGCCATACTCCTGAAGCGAGACAAACAAAATGTACCGTTTTTATTACAATAATGAGAACAAACAAAGCTAAACTACAACTGCAGTGTGACGTTTCGTTCTGCAAAGTCTGATATGCAATTTCAAATCGTGTCCTCGCACGGTGCGGCCTTCCGTCCGACTAAGTGAAGTCATTACGCAACGGTTCAGTCCAACCTTGTTGTTGTTCAACTTCTTCAGGCATTCCGTCAACGCTGGGTAGCCTCCTCTGTATCGCCACAGATGCACTGCAGGGAACAAACCAGCAGATGTCACTGTCGCGCCGCGCGAGGAGGCGGCCCCTCCGCCGACCCCCATCCCCCCCTATGTGGTCACTGAGTGCTGTCGGTGTGCAGCGTCCGCTGTGGAAGGAGTGATTCATGCGGTGGCGTCTGTGCGTTTCTCACTTTACAGCCGGCGAGTTCATTGCAACCACCACCAATCTTTTTCCCCCCCTCTTACCCGCTTGGTCCTGGTCTCCGTACCAGGTGTTCCAGCTTCCAACCACCTCACAGGGGTAATCCTGGTCCTGGTGGAGCCTGTTCTGCACCTCGGCCCTACGGGTGAGGCGGGGGGGTCGGGGGTTATCGTGAGAGAAGAAAGAAACGACAATGTGCTGTTCCTTCCCCAAGAAGTCCGAATTAACGTTACAACCAAAAAGACTGATGTTATGCTAAATCACCTTGAAGGACACTCTTCCTTCTTGTCAATGAAAAAGCAACTTGGACAACATTTAAAAAAAAATTGTGTGGTTATAAAACCGTATATGTGACTAAAGCAGGGAACCAACTCACTCCAGACTGTTGTACGCTTCCAGACACTCTGGTTTGACGTTGTGAACTGAAAAAGAAGAGAGACTTTTCAGAAATGGGTGTTTTTTTTTTCCCTTTTTGAAAAAAAAAAAATACAAGCAACCATCAAATCTCCAACAAAGTAATTTCACACTCCGATTCAGCAGAGACTTCTATGTACAAAACGCATTTGCTCTCAATGGGTTACGGGCTACGGCTGATGGGAGGGCTCAAATTGAAATCCCAACGCGGTGTGATGTACGCCGCGCACACAAAAGAGATCAAAGCGCCGGGAAGAGAGGCGGACACAGCCATCAACATGCGGACACAGCTAATCGACAAGAGAGAAAGTGGCACGTCGCCTTCAAAGCTTCACAGACAGGATACGTCACGCCATTACAGAATAACTTGTTGCTGCTACTTTGATACTCGCCGCGTTGCTTTCACGGGTTACTTTCACTTCTTCTCTGAGGTCAGACAATACTTGAACAAATGGAGGTTTGACTATGGAGACACGAGACCGAATCCCCCTCCGTCACGATGTGATGGAACTGCATCCCGAGCGAGAGATGTGGCGCCTACATTGGATTTTATACAGGTTGCTGGTCTCTTTCTTTGACAGCAGGTTGGAGTGGGCATCTTTCCTGGCATCGACTTTGTGCACGAAAAGGGAACGGAACCAGCCTTTGTCGCCACTCTCTGAAAACCTCCTACACAGAAACAGGATAAAAGAAAGTTTCACAAAAGGCTCAAAGCAGAAACATGAGATGGAGAAGTAGTCGTTATTAAAAATAAAAAAAGAGGGGGAAAAAACATAAAAGGATCATGGTGTTATGCGTGACTTATGGGCTACAAGATAGTCATGGTAATATCCTTTGATTTACAAAAAAAACATGCATAGTGTATGAGTGAGTGGGCCGAATGTCGTAGCTGGCGTCTTCCGCATAAGACTTCTTCTCACCCACTGGAGTGAAATAAAGAGGGAATATCATTAACTTGATGAACTAGTGTTGCAATCTAAGAATCCAATCTGATTTTGAAAGAAAAATAAGACTTTTAAGGAACTGCCTTGACGTTAGTGAACAGGAAAGGACCGTGATGGAGGCATTAAAGCACACAGGGACAAACCCACCAGTTATAATACCGCATTCAAGTGAAAATTCATTATTCATAATTAAAAACCATGTGAAAAATATGACGATACATATATAGTAATAGCTTAAAAATACCCCGACACTCATGTGAACATCAAATCCGAATCTTTGACTATAAAGCTTATGAACTAATTTTTATTTTTATTTTACTAACCATAATCTCAATTTGTTTATTTCAGCTCAAAGAGAATGGCTGTTTTTTGCCCATTTATGAATTATGCAGCACTATTGTGTATATATTTGCTTATGTGTCACTTTCAAGGCCGTCTGTTAATTCACACACATTGTCTGCGGCTTTATTTATTCTTACAAAACCCACAAACTTTCAAGGTCAGGATATTTCTCTTCTAATATCCTTAAGGGCCAATGACTTTAATTGGGAACTATAATTAGAAATGCATTTCCCATGGCTCCCTCTCAAAAATAACACAAGTACAGGCCTTGCATTCAAGCCATAAATTAGTTTTTATTCTTCTTCTCCGAAACAGCCATGCAGCCTTCCGCGTGGAGGCCCAGATAAGGTCGCGTGTCCGCTTCAGGGGACAAAGTTCACGGGTACAGAAAAAAAAGAAAATATTTTTTAAAAAGAACAAGAGGAAGAAGATCTAGGCACGCATTGATTCACTTTATCATTCAGCCAGCAGACAATGTGTTAAAAAAATATAAATACGAAAGTAATAAAAGGTGCCGTTTGAAAAGGCGACGGTTGATTTTCTCCGTAACGTTACGTTTTAGTTTTGAGATTTACACTCACGCGCCGATCCGAAGCCAAAAAAAAAATGCACCGCGAGCCGCTCGGTTCTCCGCACGTGCCACCAAAGGGAAGTCCTTTACCTGGTCGCTGGGTCGAGCCTCGCGGCGCACCTGAGCAGCTTCTGGCCCCGGCACCACGCAGAGGGAGCGCTGCTCGCCGCCATGTTGCCCCGCCGAGTGTCGGACTTACTGTGACCCCTGAACGCACCGCGCTGGTTAATGTCCACGTTGACGTCCCGTCTGAGGTTCGAACCGGTAGTGGTGAGTGGAGAGAGCGCGCGCGCTGCTGATCAATACGCACGATCAATGACCATGACAAAAGAAAAAACCCCACCTGAATCAGCTACATTACACCGGTGTTTTATTGAACTTTATTGCAAAATATGAATGCATGTCAAGTGATTATTATCGTAGAAAGTATTGTGTAGCCAAACAGCACTAATAATTTAGCAAATTACCTGCATTCAGCTTTGAGTTGAGTCATCCGTATCCCTAAAAATCTAGTAAATTGCACAAATAACGAGAGAACATTTTCAGGGCTGAACTTTTGTTACAGATTTTACACTTAAAATCCTTCCCGTGAGTTGCATACAGGGAGCCCTAACATTGTGATAAAGTTGTGATACAGCGAAAAGGCCACGCAGTCATGCAGATCATGGTGTAGGGCAGTGTATGCACGTGGGAGGGATACATGTCTCCAAACGACAGTTTGCTGTATGGAAGCGTGCTTGAGTTGTCCCGCTGCAGTAAACAGGTCTCTTATCTAACACCGGGTCGTTCTTTCAAAGCCGGCTTCTCTATTAGACTAGTCATGCAGTACTTAAATCCTTTTTGTGCAACCCACTTTCACATCTTTCTATACACAATGCGCTGCTCTCCGTTCCTCTCCATCATTCAACCCACCGACGTTATGTAACATCAAATGGGATCATACCTAAAAAGGATCCTGCTCAATACCTGCATTGTTTGCCTTTGTTCAATGACTTTAACAACACTATATTTAAAGAATGTACACATGCAGGTCTGTATCTTTTGGAAAATGAATAACCTTCCTTTTTTAATTGATTGGGTATTCAACAACTTATCAGAGGAATATGCGGCAATCCAAAATTGACATCTTTTAAAAACAATATCCTTGCATGCTTAAACGCTTTGCCATCTTTTCTGACATAAAAGTACACAGCAATTACACTTTCCAGGCTTTTGCTTTTCTGAATGCGCCAGTTCCGCCGCCATGGTTTACTGTAAGCGCAGGGAATCTCTCTTTCACTGCCGCGTGCAAATCTTCAAAATCCTGGTTCACTGCGACGTCCTGGAGGAAAAAGAGCACGAGTGCGTTTGAAAAGAGGGACGATTCAGAGGAGGCCCGGTGGAGAGGTGCCAACGCGCAGGTTACCGAGAAGTCTAACGTCTCCACGGCTGAATCTGGGTTTTCCTGCAGCGCCTGGAGGATCCCGTAGCAGCCGGCACTCTGGATGGGGTTCCTCCCCACCTGGTCGAAGACAAACACTGTTTAACAATGTGCACAGATTGCAGAGGATTCTTCACTTTGGTTTTTACTGCTGCAAAGATTGTGATGAAATAGGTTTGTGAGGATGTCGTGGAGATAAACACAGGAAAGTGGTTGCAAAATCCACTTAACGAATGAAGTTCTCAAATAGGAAATTCACCCTTTTATGGGATTTATATGCTGGGTTATTTCTTCCTTTGGACTACTAACTTCCTGCTGACTTCCCTGGTTTTTGGAAAACGCGGCACACACCTGCATATTTTCATAATTTGAAGCCTGAAAAAAGTGAATTTAATGATGTTAATGTTCGACCACATCACCTACCATCACACTATGGCAACAACGTCTCTCTTCTTGGGCAAATCATCTGTAACGGCTCAAAGCACCACAGCTATGCTAACGTTAGCAATGGCCCGAGCCCATGTAGTCGCTGCATTGGAAGTGCAAACAGCTCACTAAATTCTAAGCCGCAGAACCAATTCCTGCAGCGGTCCATTTCTAGTCAACTGACCTCGAGTCGTAGCTTCATATTTAAACCCCATAATGATGCTGACCTTTATGGCAGGTAAGCGTATTTTCCCAAAATGTCAATCTATTCCTTTGAGAAATAAAAGCCATGCTATCCGGCGAGCAATTATATGCCACTTTTAGCACATCCAAACACCAGTAATCTGTTCTGTCTCTATCAAATAAATCAAACAGAAGTAGACCGGGTGCAGAAAAATACAAAAATCCACTAATTAGCTGCCATGAATTCATAAATTTTAGTTTTCCAGTTTTTGCACTTTTATATTTCAAACATTATATTCTTCCATTCAGGAGTGATAATTTAATGGTTTTTAAATGCTTTAAATACTTTAAAAGTATTTCAGCGTACGTCTTTACCATTCACTTCTTTTCTGTCAGTGACTTTTCAGATGAGCCCCTGAGAATCCTGCTGAGCACGGACTTTAAAACAAAGTACAGTGGTCCGTTTGTTTAACCCACTCTATCCCCCTCCGCCATTGTCTTTGAAGCATGCAGCAATCTGGCAACAGCTTACATTGAGGGATTTGATTGTCTTGTTTACTTTGAGGCCCATGGCTAGATGGATAGCTCCTTCAGGGGGTATTCGGTTGCTGCTGTGGCGAGAAATAAAAAGGAAAAAACAAGCGTGAGGGCAGCAGTCATAAAGCGTGATTTGTAAAAGGCGTCATTCGTCCATGTAGCAAAAATCACTGGGAACTTGTTTTGCTTGATAAGTCAAAAGAGAGGCTCGATTGATGATAGAGTCAAGAAAAAGAAGGTTTAAGATTTGCTTTTACCTCAAATTCAACTCCTCCAAGACGTAATTCTCTTTCAAAGCCTGACCCAAGGCGATGGCTCCCTCTTTGCCAAAGCCATTGAATGTCAGATCCACTGCTCTGAGGAAAACGTTTGCCTAAACAAAAAACAGATTTGGAACCAGTTTAAGATTTATAAGTGCAAAAACAAAATTGAGGTGATTAACCAAGACCTTGATTTAAAGTGAAAGAGCAGCAGAATATGTCCTGATGTAATCAGCCTCCCAGACCTCAATCAATCAGAACGGCGTGCTCATTAAGACAGACGGTTCTCCGCCGTCCCGCTGCGAGATGATTAACGAATGCCGGACCACCGGGACGGGCAAGTCGGCCACTCAATGTGCGTGTTAAAACAGTGTCACCAGAATAAAGTTCCAACAAAGTGGAATCCCAACACTACGCAATGATATTTCAGACGGCAGCAGTTTGGGTAAAGCCCTTTCCTCTTTCCTCCGGCAAAGCCACCTCCATCAAGTTTAACACCTGTTTGGTGTTAGAGGATTTGACCTGCCGGCAAATTGCATGATTTCCCCCCGGCAACGTTTTGGGGACGCACTGGACTGTGAGGCGGGCGTTATCGGCCAGCATCAGCGTCCGGCCTCACTGAGGATGTTGTGGCTGCAGGGGAGCAAATCCCTGCTTGAGGAAAGCCTTCACGGAAGAGCAGAGCTGTTCTTGCAATATGCCCATAAAAAAAAAAAAAAAATGTAATGGGGTTTACAGGCGTTTTTCTCATCCACTGCATGGCTGATTCATGATGTATGCACACATTTGGTTTTTGAAAAGGTGGAATTTAATCCGATAGAAGCGGTGTAATGTTTGCAAACATTGACGACAGGGTGTTTTACCCCGAGGCCGCCGGCCAGCATCACAGCTCCGCGCCCTCGAAGGCAGTTCCAGGCCAGATTTAGTGACCTCAGCCCGGTGTTCTCTGGCAGAGAGTCTCTCAGCGCTTTTCCTTGGGGTGAAAACAAACAAGAATAAAAACGAAACTAGTCAATTACACCAAAACCGTGCTTCACATGCCGACTTAATGATAATTAATTCCCTAAAACAGGCATAACTCATTGTTAAATGCTATTTTGCTATATAACGGAAGAAATCTGGAAAGAAATCTTAGATGAAAGAAGTATTCATTAAAATCAAAAGACCCACTTCCACACTCGGATAGAGACGGATTTATCTCCTGCGGTCGATTTCACTGAGATGTTGAAACGCGTGTTATCGCAGCCTGAAATCAAAGCCGGTGAGGAGCGCAGAGGCAGAACACCCAAAGGCATCAGTCCCCATCATCATCTCACCCACTTTATCCCCAGGATCAGAATGTGCACAGCACCCGGTGGTTCATAATAACACCCCCCGCTCCGACTGAGCTTGATGGGAAAAGCAATAAAACCATAGCATGAATGTCAGAGTGTTTGATTGGTCCTCTTTCTCTCCACCGTACGGAAGAGCGCGCTGGACGAGGACGAGGATGTCCTTTTGATATTTCAGCAGTGGAGGAAATAAAGCTGAACACGAGGGGACGAAATCAAAGACACACATGACACCGAGACATGCCGGCGTCCCCTTTCCCCGCTGACAGTTATTTGGAAATTACCACATCAGATGCTCATTGCATCCGGGTGTGTGCCGTTCGTCCGCGAGGCGCCTGTTGGAAAGCTCGCCCGCATGATAATTGAAAGAGGTTTTAATGAAGGCGAAATGTTCTTGACCTTTGAATGCCACGGTCTGCCGCTGCCTGCTGTCCTGCTTAGCGATAAGGCTAATGGTTTCCAGAAATAAAACCATAGCAGATACGGGTTTGTATTAGATTATACGTTAGAAGTTTTAGGTGGCTCCTAATGCATATTCACTTATCATCATTTATCATTTAATATGACAGAAAAGATGACTTTGCAGTCACTTAACCGGCAGCTTTTAGCAGCTGCTTTCATATGCAAACAAACATTCAGGTAAAATGGTTATTATGTCAGTCATGACATTTAAAAGATTTTGCAGACTGAAAATGCATCAGCTTGGATGCACAGTTAGGTTATTTTCTGAGGTAAAAACAAAAAAAAAGAAGAAATATGCGATTTACTTTACAGTATATTGCAAAAAGTGAACATCTTTAGTGCTGTATGCAGCTTTTCACTTACAGCACTGACCAATTTGAGGATTAATGCCAAATGTCAGTCAGGCCCAGATGTTCAACACCGACATCTGTGTGTAATGATTCAGTGTCTGCATGCGTTTTATCACGTGTCCATGTATGTATTTGGCTGTAAAACATTGTTTTGACAGGGTCCGAATGACTGTTTAAAAAGCACAAAGGGAGAGAAAGTGAGCGAGAGATTGTCATCTCTGTCATCTCATTCCTCTCATCTCTGATTTCTGGGTCCTGAAATTCAATTATTTGGAGCTCCTGATGCAAAATGTGTTAAAATATGAATCTCGAGTGCAAATCTTTAACATCAACTCTAAAAAAAAATAGCAGCCAGCGGGACGGTTTCTTTCTTTAAAAGGCCTCACAGAAAACATGCAACCTTTACTTCATCTTGCTAATTGCTCTGCTACCTGCACGCTCTCCCAGAGCGTTGTGGCTGAGGTCGAGGTGCCGCAGCGCGGAGTTGGCCATCAGCGCCGGGCCGAGGTGCTCGGCCGACCGGTCCGTCAGATGGTTTCCTGACAGACGGAGGCTGACCAGCGTGCGGTTCTCCATGAGCATACCAGCCACGGCTCTGGCCCCATCGTCCCCGAGAGCGTTGTCGGACAGGTCCACCTCTGGGATCAGAATACGGGTTTGCTGGTTATGTTTGCAGAAAAGAGGCCGCTTTAAATCCACACACCCTTCAGAGAAGAAGTGCAGCAGAGTTTTCCACTATGTCAAATGTATTCTATTGGTTCATAATACTGTTATTTAATTTCAGAGATCTTTCGTATTGGTCACCTTTCTTCAGTTTAGCTTCATTCGTAGATGTTGTATACTTCACAAGTTATTCCTTTTCCTAAACGTTCAGGGTTTCCATGGATGCCGCTTTGGCCAATGCCGGCTGCCGCATCAGCTGGAAGGTTCGTCTACAAATCTCACGTTGCATTAAATAAAATTGGATTCCCCCTGAAAGACGGTACGGTGGTGGCGCACGACTCACAGGAGTCGCGCTCGATAGATTCCTCCCTTATCTTCACCAAACTGCACCAATATTAAACGCCGGCAACAGATACGTTCGCCTTGTGATTTGGGGGAGAGATGAGTACGACCGGACGTCGAGGGGAAAGAGAAAGTGCGTGCATGCTCGAGTGCCAAGCGAAACCACCTGTAATGTTACAATTTTCCTTCAACATCTCGGCTACAGCAGCTCCGCCCATCGCCTCCATCCAATTGTCTCGCAGGTTGAGCCTGAGGATTGAAGTGTTGGTTACCAGGGGAACAGCCAGAGCTTTGGTGCCCTGCAAACACACATCCAAAGTGAATTTTCTTCTGTTTTGTTCACTCCAGTATATTTTCTTGTCTGTATTTCAGTTAAAAAGCGTAGCTGCACGGATGCAGGTGGGCAGAGAGCGAGCGAGCGAGAGGGGGGAGAGAGAGAGAGAGGGGGGATATTAAACCTGCGTGAGACAAATGAGGCAGAAGGGAGCCGTGTGGAGGCGTAGGTCAGAAATGAAGCTCGCAGAACATGAAAATGATAGTTTCCAGCCCGGCTAATGAGAAAGTCTGCCGCGTGAAGCCTTATGTTAAATTGATCTTAAGGAAAAAGAAGGAGAGCAAAGGGCTAAAGTGTGTCTGAAGGCCTGCAGAGTATCTTCCTCTTAGATAAGGGGAGCCAATCAATCTGCAAGACGTTTTTTTAAACCTACGGCGGTGGCACTTTGTTACTTTACTTTGACTCTCCGTGATTGACAGGTGAAGGTTTATTTAAAATCCAATTTGATCTACCTGAACGCTGGAAACGGCTTGTTAAGGAAGGGATTTGCTTTATCAATTTTCATTTGCTGCCTTTACGGACCAGTGGAAGCCTGTGAAAATGTCACGCTGCGGTTGCTAAGCGCTGCAGGAGATGCCTTTTCACGCCGGCAACTCGGGGATGTTCAACCACTGAGAGACTCCGCGCTGATTTTATTGTCGTAAAAATATTTATCTTCAATTTTGTTTTTATCTGGAGTCTGCGGTAAAAAGTAAATATGGAGTTGCTGTGTACACAAGCGCTTAAAGAAGACCCATTAGTTGAACTCAACATGTTGTAATGGATTTCCTGTTTGGTCTAAACTTCCCAAAAGAACCCGTGACTACGTCTTTGAAGATCAGCATGTGTGCGGGTGCGTGGGTGCGGGTGTATACATGTTTTGGGTTGCATGTGAGCTAAAACATACACAATATTGAGGTGGGGTCTATTTACTGGGGTCACAGGGAGAATTCGGTGTCGTTTAGAATGAAAAACAAGTGTTCACCCCAGATGTAAAATGAAATTCTGGGTCCAGGTCTTGTTGGAGAGAGATCAAATATTTGTAGATCTTTTTCAAGAAGGCAGTTTGAATTGGAAGGTCGACCTGGAGGAGGCTGCTGTGTGCAGCGGGATATCAAATGTCAACATCCACGCCTTTTAATTTACATCCACAGCATAACAAACAGGTTAATCTGTAACTGAGGTTTTAGTGCAAATGTGGGCGAATTTAATCTTGTAGGAAACAGTCATTCAATGTTCAGGTCACTCAACTCTTTATGGAACGTATCTGGTTATTTAGCTGCTATAATGCTACGTACAGCCGATGATTGTGTCGCTCAGTTGTGCGTCCCCATGAGCAGATTCTCCCCTCTCCACCTTATTGTCATTCAATCCTCTGGAACAAAGTACCTGAGGCCCCAGACCGCGGTGCATCATGGACAGCTCGCTGCTCCGCATGTGCCGCAGGAAGGAAGAGGCAGGCGCCACCCGCAGCGCGCCGCACGCCTCCACGTAGGGCGTCCGCCCCGCCGGGTCACACGCCGCCTCCGCCTCCTCCTCCTCCTCATCTGCGGCATGAATAAAGACAGCGGCTGTCTCAACTGTTGGCTATCAATACGTCTTTGTAGAAGGGCGATGTGGCGCTCTCCTCCCGGAGGAGGACTTTTCAGTGTGACATTGAAAACTCCCCCACGGCTGATTTCCACCCCGTCAGGGACGGCTCATTCATGCAAGATGGCTTTCACGTCTGGTGAAAAGGTAGCCTGGCACAAAAGGACCTGGATGAAATGATTAAGATGCAGAGCGCGCCTTTGGATGTGTGGGCAGGAGAACGTAGGAGGTACTGGTGTCTTGTTTTATTTTGATTTGAGGCAGAAGAAGGAAAAGATGGACACATGGGGCGACATGTGTTATCGATTGCGATCCGATTGGGATCAAATGGAGCCTGGACTGTTACTTCAGAGGGAAAACAACAATATCAAACATAAGAGGGAACAAAACAGTCACTTCCCTTTCCTGCCATCTCTTTTTACCTCCGAGCTCCAAGTCTGTGTCGTAGTTCTCCTCAGAGCTCACGCTCTGGTGTCCTCTGAGCTCCTCTTCATCATTCTCCTCCTCCTCCTCCTCCTCCTCATCGCTTTCACCCCCGTCCAGCACATTCCCGTCAGGACTCGAGTGTTGGTCCTTTGGCCCACGCACGTCGACCCCGGTCGCGCTCGCTCTTCGCTAAATGGAGAACGAGAAGAGTAAGATATCGTGACTCGTCAAACCCCCGAGCGAGGAGATCGGATGGATTTGCTACCAGGAGGAATAGAACCGTCACACACGTTGGACAGGCGCTTCCATCAACGTGTCTCTCCGCCCCGTCAAAGTATTCCCACCTACTCCTTTCCTCACACCTCCCTCATACCCTCCATCACCAGGCCTGTGGCCCGTTCAGTCGGCCGGATCGTTATTTTCAGGGCTGACTGAGCAAGACACCTAACCCCCAATTGCTCCCCGGCAAAAATGTAAAAAGCCACGGGTTAAAAATGCAACGTAAGTCGCTTTGGATAGAAGCATCAGCTAAATGACCTGTAATGAAAGAGTAATTGAGGAAACTTTCGGGGAGACATTTTGAGTCCCCTCTGTTGAATGAGGAAAAATAGTGTCTTCAGTTTTTGAAGCCCACATTTCCTCTCAAGGAAAGTGGTGGGATGGCGTCACGTCTTAAAGCCCCTCGTCAGGTCAAGAACCTTCCCAACCAATTCCCTCTCCTAAATCTTTATCGACGACGGGCCGACCCGTCCATCGTCTCTCCAGCTGCCTGCCTGCTCCTTCTCACTTCCCTCGCTCAAGAACCTCCTACCTCGGCCAGCTGCAGCTTCTCGCCGCGTGCGTCTGCGTCATCGTCCTCCAGCCCAGAAGGCAGCAGCGGCTCCATCGCCAACGTCTCCACGCGGTGATGGTGAGGCGGTGGAGAAGTGCACTTTGCTTGTTTTCAGACTCAATGTGTGGGGGGGCAATCACTGCACTGCATTTGGGGCAGCAAGTGTGCGTTTGTGCAACCTAACTTGCTCAATGGGAGGGTCAAACTCTCTGGGCTAATTAGAAAGGCCGCTGCTTCTCGTCTTCATGGCAGATCACGGTGCAAAGTTTGCACGCGTCTGTGTGTTGACATGTTTCCATGGCGCCGACTACACGCACTAACAGAGGCAGGAAGGGGAGGCGAATTATTTGTTGTGACCGTTTGTCAGGGGGATAAAATAACAAAAAAAATAAAGCCCACGCTGATGTTAAACAAGCTTTACTCCAAGAATAAACAGTTCTACTCAAGCTTCTTTATTTAAACAAAAAACAACAAACCAAGCAAATGTGTTGACATGTTCTGTAAATGTTTCTTTATTTGTAAGTAAATGCAAAATCCTTGCAGATGCATTAGAATGAAATATCCTCCATTACAACAAAGGTCATTATAGCGGAGGCAGATCGGATCAGTTGTTCATAGCAGCAGCGATTTGCAAACACAGAAAAGGAAACTCCTTCAAGAATGTTTTTTTTTTTTTTTTTTTTTAACCATCCAAAGCCCACGGAGAAAGGCCGGACACAATAGGGTCTCACCGACCGACACAGTGCTGGCATAAAATATGAACAGGAAGAAGATCACCATGCATGTATTTAATGCCGCTGCAGTTTTATCATCATACCTAAAAAGGATATTTTTTGTTCTTTTTAAGTCAAGCAGAATCATAGTGCTCATTTACATAATCAAAATACATTCTTAGAAAAGATCAAAGTGGTTTTCCTTTATATTTTATACTTTGATTATATATAGAAGCTGTGTATTGTATCAATTGCTTTCCAGCCGCACATTTTCTTGACGGCTCTCAATTGGATTTAATTAAGCAAATTATACAGTGGCAACACACATCCAGAACAACAACAGTGGGGGAATCCCACATTTCTTCCCCCCACCATAAGAAATAGTTGAGAAAAAAAAAAGAAAACATTCTCGGCAGTTGTGACGAACGTTTGAAAATCACATTGAGATCCTTTAATCATGCGAAGAGTCATCTTTGATTTTCGAATCAAAGACAGAGAAAGGGAAACGAGCCACGTGTTACTGTAGAGGGTGATCAATAAATAAAGTGGCCCTCACACACAAATATATTCAAAATTACAACCCTGACTCATTGGAAAGCAGCAAATGACGCCGGCGGCAGCGCGGCTGCCTCTTGTCCTTGAAATGACAAAAAGAAGGAAAACAAATTCACTTAAAGCTGAACTGCCGAGACCAAAAGGCTGAAAGACGCCACGTGGGCAGTTTCCCCGTCACCAAAACACCATCTGTAAGACCACATTTTCAGGCTTGCGTGACGCACACAGCGACTAAGTCATGCTTATTTTAAAATCTGACCAGTTGGACAAAGTAACAGACGAGCAGAGAAACGCACACCTGAGCACATGCTCAAGTTCTAAACCCACGCAGAGGTGCACGCTAGTGATGGCGCGCGCACACACACACACACACACACACGCTGATGCTACCGAGCAGGTGTCAGGTCACAGTGAGAGGGCGGCGCGTGAGCCGCGGGGTTGCGCACAATCATGCAGAGACACACAATAAAGAATGAACGTGCCGTGTGTGGGCAGAGGCGGAGGAGTTAATGTAAGGCAAGAGGAGGCGACAAACGCAAATTGTCAAAAGCGCAGAAGCGGTCGGATAAGATCTGGGCCGCACACTGTGATCGAGGAGAGATTTTTAATTTTTTTTTTTATCTTGCATCACTTTGTGTTTTGCAGCAAAATTAAATGAATGAAATTTTAGAAAGGAATGTTTTGACAGAATAGGATGAAAAAATTGGTAGCGCAACCGCTTGTTTGGCGCCACAGAAGCCCTAGCTTAGCTTAGCACAATGGCTGGAAACGGGAGAAAGAGTTAGCTTGGCTCTATCATCACCTCATCAATTAAAAAAAGGATACTAACTTTTTTGCAGAAATGTAACGCTTAAACAAAATAAATATTAATATTTAGTACGTTGCTGGAAGAATATTTGTTGCATTTTCCACGTTTTATGCTAAGCTAAGGCCGGCCGGCCTGCTAACAACTCACTTAGAAAATGTGTCAACCCATGTAATCGTCACTACTTTGTTTAAGCAAACACAAAGGTAAACATTTAAAATCGAGCACTGAAGTTTAAAGTTATATTTGTCTTCCCTTGAGGTTCATCTAATCACGTACTGAAATCGGGTTCAGACGTTCCGGATGTGGATGTGGGTTGTGCGAGCGCCAGCTGGGACACACACACACACACGCACCACAACGTTACGGTGTTGGGGAGAGTGGACAGAGCGCTGGCCCGCAGGCTGAAGCGTGTTGATGAACTGCTAGTGAAGAGATGGATAGTACGTCCGGCTGTGACAGAGGCTCTGTTTTCATAAGTCAGGGTGACTTCAACAGGGAAAAATTTGCATATAGAAAAAAAAAAAATAATCGCTCAATCAGTTGTTCTTTTTGCATGCCTGTACATCTCTCGATTATCTCTGCTGTTTTAACTTTCCCCCGGAAACTACAACCTTTAATCACGTCATAGAAAAAAAATACAGCTCAAATATGTTCGACCGGCCGTGATTTTTGTAACATAAATGCTTATTCAGAAATGTCCGTGAGTTGCTCACACTTTTCCTCGTTGATACGAAACCTCAATGAAAGCCTTTTGCACTGTAACAATAACACAGAGTAGATTATATTTCGTGGGTATATTCTCGTCTTGGTCATGCAATCACAATGAGGCAGGTCATCACATTAGGTGCACACATTATGAATCAAAATGATCAATTTAAACTTGTTGGAAGTATCATCAACGAGAGAACACAACATTTCCAACTTGCTACAGACAAAATCGCGGGGGGCCAAACAGAAACAATAAAGTGGTATAAAAAAGAAAGAAAGAAACACTTTTTTTTTTTTTTACAGTACAAAAATTGGCACAGTATTTTTTTTTAAACCAGCGTCGCCGTGTCCTCCAGACTGGTCGTTGTCAGAAAGCGGATTCTCAGACCTACGAGCAGAAAACCCTGAGAGCAAAGACAGAAGGAGAGACAGAAAGACGGACAGAGGGAGCAACAGAGACATGGAAATAGAGACGTTACAGTCATTACTCATCCGGCCAACAGGGGCTTCGATGGCCAAATGTGAAATTCAAGTGACAATCCACACAGGAGCCATCGTCTGTGATGCATTATGTTGGTGCTTAATGAGCCATAGTGGATATGTAGGGCCCTTGTTTTGCTCTCGCAGGGAAGGGGACGTGAAGTGTCTAATCTTGAAATGTGCACAATTGATGACGGAAACAAACACAGAAATGGAACAGACCCACTTGCGTCTCGCTCTAATCCTGTTAGTTTAAAGGCCCTTCTCCGCGGGTTGCTATGGTTACGCTCTCTGTTTTCATCCGAAACGAGGGGCGACAACACGTCGCCGTTGCCAACAACTACAGGTTGGAGGTCGGATTTACTTATGCAAACGTTTGAGATACAGCGGCTCTTGTTCTGACTGGTTAAAATCAAAATGGGCTCAGACTTCATCCAAAATATGAGCTAAACAACAAAAAAAAAAGGATGAATAAATAAGAAAACGCATCATAGATCTTTAGCATCCCACGCAGTTCAGAGCAGTTGCAGACGAGTCAAGTGAATAATCCTGGTTTTATGTGTTGGGAGTACAGACTAGACATTACCATGCCTCATAAAATCCACTCTGACACAAATGGAGCGAACGAGGAACCAATGAAGAAGTACATTTATTACGTATGAATGAATACTGCTCATTTTACTGCTTTCATTCAAATGATGTGCAATTAATTTTTTTAAACCTTATTCCAGGTTCATATTTGTATTTCTGGTTTCTACCTATTTGAATGCTTTAAATGTTCATAATCTTCCCAATTTAAATGAATGTATTGGTATATTTTTATAATATTATAATTACAACTTATTGTTTAATAGATTCATACGAGCATGTGATGTAAAGGTTTCGAAAAGGCTTTGTTTCCATATAATCCCGAATGATATAATGGTTTGCACGCAAAACTATGAATGTTGCACGGCCTACGCAAAGCTTGGGGAGTGAGGAGCCAAACTTTATGCTCTTCCTATTAATTCCGGTGACTGAGTGGAGCTCTACGCATCTAGCACCACCTTTCTACAAAATGATGACATTGCCCATAAGTCATGGCAATATAACACGAGAAAACGAGGGGAGAATTCTATTAGAAATTCATGCTGATGCTTATGACTCAGAGGATGAATTCCATCTCTTCTTATGACCCCTCTAAACATCCCACAACAAGGAATGTCTAAATCTACTGGGCAGGTTACTAGAAAACGTAATCTGCAGTTATTCGCTTTTTAATGCAACAGCGACGTTGTACTAAAATGTTTTACATGGAGATATCTGGCATGTTTTTTGCACATCAATATAATTAACCTTTTTTTTTAAAAATAAAAAATGGTGGAAAAAGGAAACAACTCACTCATCAGAATCTTTCTTGCTCTCCTCAATGTAGGCTATGGACTCCGAGCGAAGCCGGTTGGTGACCTCGTAGGTGCGCAGGGTGACCCCAAAGATGTCCTCGTGGTAGCGGTTCTCATCCTGGACACGGTGGACGTCACATTAACAGCGTAAGACCGAAAGAAGTGAACAGCCAGAATGCTGCAATTAAAGACTCTCAATAGAAAATATTCAAACCGTTTCATTAACATTTACTTTTACATTATGAGAACACAATTCTAGCAGCGCACAGACTGTGTTTTCATGCCTGCAGTCGTTGCATTGGACAGATTCACTGAACAGAACTGAAAAACGGCTCTTCAGCCCATTTGCATTCGGCACGGATAAGTGTGTTAATACTTGGCGTGGTGACACGTGTCCTTCTCCTTTTTATAGCCTTTTTACCCTTGAGTTGACAATTGAAAATAAGCCAGTGAGGGTGTTTTTTAACCTTGTTTTTCCACAGGAAACAGTGACTCAACACGCCTTCTGTTTTTCAGCGGCTCAGCACTCGGTCGCACACATT